ACCCTGGGTGGAGCTGCACAGTCCCTTACACGTGGCCCTGCCTCATCATTGCCTCTGCTATCAGTCTGTAAATTCCCAGAGATAGGGACAGGGTCTTCTTTCTATATCTTTGCCATTTGCCCAAAGCCTGACACTAAGCTGGACCCACACAAGAGCTAGCTGAGAGCACAGGGCCAGGTGGACTGGGGGTGGGAGAGATTTGTTCTCTCGGGCACCTTAAAGGTGGGCTCAATTCCTTTTCTCTCTCATCCTCCCCACCCCAACACAAGCCTTTCTACTGAAAAGGTGTTCCAGCCACAATGTGGGCTGAGGGCAGCAGCCTGGCTGTCCCTAAGTGAAGACAAGGCTCCAGCCATAGGACTGCATGTTGCTCACAGGTGGCTATAACTAACCACCCCCACCTTAGCAGCCCCAGTTCCTGAGTGCATAGTAATCCTCTGAGCACCCCAGAGAAAGAGCTGAACCCCTAGGCTAGGCACAAATATAAGAAGTGACTGCTGGGTACAAAGACAGTGGCCCTGGCCCAGAAGTTACCTGGCCACAGACAAAGGACAGAAACACTGGCTGGGGATGTAGCTCAGTGGTAAAGTGCTTACCTAGCATATACAAGGCCCTGGGTTCAATCCCTAGCCCCACGAGAAAAAAAAAAAGTGAGCTCCAAATAGTCTTCATAACAAAAAAGCCTTTGTCTTGCTAGCCCCAGGATGCTTAGAGGCATTTTTGTCACTATTGTGGAGGTCTGGTGTCTACTGGACAGAGGCCAAGGATGTCTACAAATTCTATAATGTTCAAAACAGCCCCACCCTCAGCCTAGTCCTAAAATGGTGAATCAGTAGTGCTAAGTTTGAGAGAGCTGTTCAGTGTGACAGTCATGGTTTGTGGCTTCAGCTCAGTAGCTGGGGGAAGTTTAAAGCCTGTCTGCCCCTCTGGGCCACCTAAGGGTCTTGGGGTCTCTGAGGGGCTGGAATAGAGGAGCGCTCGGTGCTCATAGTCCAGAAAAGTACAGGCCCCTTTCCTCACTCTATCCTTTTCCAAGTAGCCAAGTTCGGTGACACCCCCCAGGTTCCCCATCAGAGAGGTTTATGACCCACTCCTCCAGGAGCTGGTGTAAAGGCCAGCCCTGCTGACAGCCAAAGGCATGGGCCTCCCGAGGCTCTCCTAGTGAGATGCTAGCTCTGAAGTCCAGGTATGAAATGCCATACAAACGACATTATAATTTATATATGTGCAGAGCTCATCCTGGGATTTCATCCCGGTCAAGGCAGAGAGGATTAGTTCTTCCCCAATCCTGGCCTCTGCGCCCCCGTGTGGTGACTACTGGACACTGCACCTCGTGCCAGGACAGCCACGGAGGAAGTCCAGGATGGCCCTGACCTTGGTTTTCAAGAATGCATCCAATCTAAGCCCTGAGAGGAAGGACAGAGAGGCAGAACCTCCCTGCTACACACACAGCGTTAGAGACAAGGAAGGAAGCTGGTGGAGTGGCTCAACTGGTGGAGCATCTGCCTAGCAAGGGTGAGGCCCTGAGTTCAAACCCCAAAAAAGGAAAAAAATAGAGTCAAGGAAGCCAGGAAAAGTCACTTTAGCAAGACAAGGCAATGGGACCAAAACCTACAATGGGCTTAGTGAGCTTGGGGCCTCAGGCTTCAGCCCAATGCCCTTCAGCCTGTACTCCCCACTGCCCACTCCAGATACCTCTGCTCCAACCACACAGGACTTCCCGCCATTCCCAGAAATACCCTCCTGCATTCTCCTGACCAGGGCAGATGCCGTTCCCTTTGTCCTTCTGTTTGGGCGCCATTCTGCTGCCCCCTTCTCCTGGCAAACTCTTTGCATCACCTCCTCCAGGAAACCCTCCATGATTTCCTCAGCAGGAATTAGGCCTGCTGGCTGCTGGGCATCATCCACACTGTACTTTTCGATCACAGCAGCCTGCGATTGCTTGGAGCAGAAGCCATGCTCTGCTTATTCCCTGGGGCTCAGCCCGGTGCCTGGCACAGAGCAGGAGTCACAAACCCGAGCTGACGGAATGGAATGAAGACCTCCTGGAGGCCAGACGGTCCTCTCAGACCCTTCAGATCAGGCCACCATATAGTCCTAGCCCTCTGCCCACCTGTGTGTGGAGTGCCAGGTTTCTGCCATTGAAAACTGAAGAGAGAAATACAAACCGACTGGTTTTCAGGGGTGGCCAAGGTGGTGCCTGCTGCAGAGGGGAGAGGAGTTGTGTGTGTATCCCCATCCCTGCAATGCCCTGCTGTCCCAGATCTAAGCCCAGCAGACTGATGAAAGGCAAGAAGGAGACCAGGTCTGGAATTCAGCCTACAGAACCATGCCCCTCACCCACTCCAGCCTCTGACTGCCCTGTCTGAGACCCCTGTCTACCTTGCAGTCAATGGTACTAGGCCTCCAGGCTTCACACCAGAGTGGCCACTATAGGCAAAGTGGACCCCTCAAGCTGCAGCTGTCTTGTCCTGCAGGACACCCTCAGGAGGTCCCCGTAAAGCCTCCCATCTCAGACACCTGTGGGAATCACACAGAAGCTTACATCAAACACAGCATCCAGAATGCACTCATGGGACACAGACGGTTTCACACAAAGGGGTGGGGGGGGGGCTTTGGCCCCTTCCTTTCCCACAGTCCCAAGTCACGGCCTGACCTTTGGGGCTCTTCTTCGCTGGGACCTGGGAGGTGGTTGTTCCCTCTGGGCAGCCTGCTTCGCTTTTTGGTAGCTGCAGTTTATTTTGTTCCCGTTGGTGATCAGGAAAAGACTCTAGGTACTCGAAAAACTTCCCTTTGTGTTCGTTAATACACAGCTATGTTCTCTTAAATCATACAATTCAAGTGGGCAAACATCTGTCTCTCTGGGATCCCTGCCAGAAGGGAGGCACAGCCCCTCCTCCTGTCCCCAATCCCAGCCCTGTCAGTCCTGCAGTGAGGAGACAAAGCAGTCATCCACTCAACAAACACCTTTAGAGCACCCACTATGTGTGCAAGGCACTGCTTCTGGTACATTAAGCCCTTCCTCCTCCTTCTGTTCCTCTTTCCATCCTTCCTTCCCTTGCTGCATCCCTCCCTCCCTCCTTCCCTTCATATAGTAAGGACTCTCAGATACCTCAGCCAGCTTGAGAATTCTCCAGTATTGACCGACAGAATGCCCAACCCTGTCCTTCGCCCTCGAAGACAAATCAGTGCAAATACAGAGAGTTTAGTGCACAGCCCATAGGGAGTTTGAGCGTAATGTCCCGCAAGTCAGAGGTGTTGTCCTGCCTGATGGCAGAGGCAGAGCTGAGCTGTGACGGGTGAGGAGGCTGGAGTCAGAGGGGACAGCAGAGAACTACCCACAGTTCACAAAGCATCCCATGCATTAAAAGGCCCCTTGGTTTGGCTAAAAGGACAAAAGCTAGTGGAGAGGCAGGGGGATAGAAAAGACCAGAAAGGCATCCACCTGAGAGGGAGGAGGGCTGGCAAAGTCAGGCTGAGAAACTTAGAAGCGGGGGGGGGGGGTCCTCAGGTCAAGGATGAGGCACCCATGATTCTCAGATTGCATCCGGGACTCCACACGTCTAAAATGAAGCTTCTAGCAATTAGATTTCCCTGCGGTTACAATCAGACACATTTCAAATTGCAGAAGCGTGGTCTGCCTTCTTTAAAAGACTCTTCAGGACAATTAGAGTCCTTGCTCTCTCAGCAGCAAGTATTATTGGTTTATTTTTGCCAGTAACACCAGCACCCCTAGAAGGTGCTCACCCTGGACTCCTTCAGCCAAAGGGAGGGAGGGAGAGGAGAAGGGAAGAGATCAAGTTCATAATAAAGGTTCACAGCAAAGTGTGCTTCCTCCTCGGGAGGGCCACCAGGTAACAGTAAGTACAAAGCAATTACATTCTGTTGTGTGGGTATTAAATTTGGGCGAAAACAAATATAATAAGATGTAGACATTTGGAGAGAGGCTGAAATAAAAGTGGAGGATAAAAATAAAATCAATAACCACACATTCCTGGAGCCTACTTAAAAAGACATTTACTAAGAGCTGAGGATAACTTTGAGTGGGGAAGTTGACACTGGCACTGAATGGATGCTGGGAGGATCCCGAGGGACAAAGGAAACACAGCCTTCCTGAAGCTGCCCCTGCTTTCCTGTATACCCTGCCTGTCCCCAAGCCTCCGAACAGCCAGGCACCAGTGGCCTCACGCCTGTAATCCCAGCTACTCAAGAGGCAAAGATCAGGAGGATTGCAGTTCCAAGCCAGCCCGGACCCTATCTAAAAACAAAATTAAAAAATCCATCACAAAAAAGAGTTGGTGGAGTTGTTCAAGTGGTAGAGCACCTGCCTAGCAAGAAGTGAGGAGTCTGGCCAGTAGGAGTTCAAATCCTGGCTTGGACAAGGTGTTTCTGGGAGGAATAAGGGAGCCACCTCCTGTTACAGGGGTGGCCACAGTGTAAAGCCCTACACAGGGCTGCCTGACTACTAAGTGTCCAGTGATACTGCAGCTCCCGGAGGGAGTTAACTTGTATTCAGTGTACCCCAACTCAGGAAGGAATGAGAAGCAGGGAGTGGGCAGGTGCTGCTAGCTGGACAGAGGTGCAGGAGTGTCCTGCTCACGACATAAGGTGTCTTCCAAAAAGGAGACAAGCAGGAAATGTGAGAAACCTCTGGCAAGAGATGCTCAAGTTACTCTGCGTAAACAAGTCTAATGAATCTCAAATAAAACCTAAACATCAAGCTCGATTTGGAGGATTTCAGGGGAAGAAAGCAAATGGTGTAGTGGGTGGGTGGCAGTATAAAGAGAAGATGGGTGATGGAGTGAGGAAAGGAGGAAGAGGAGAAGGGAGGCCACGGAAGGTCAGCAGCCAGAGCTTTCCGTTACTTTGTGGAACTGCAATGCTAATGCATACCAGAAGGGGGCAGAGCTGCTGACATTGAAGGGTAAACGCCGGCAAGCTTCTTGACTCTTGGCGGACACCGTATCTCCTTTCCTCCGTTAGGAGGGTTTAACGGACCGGAAGCGGAAGTGCCGTCCTTTCCGTTCTCCTCGGTCCTCGCCGCTGGCTGTGAGTCTCCCGGGCAGTACGCGGGGAGGGGGGTCAATCCGGGACAATCCGCGGCCGGGTGGAATCTGGGGACCCTGGGTTTGCATCGAGGGTGCGCGGGGGGAGGAGGCGGTGCGATAGGGCGGGTTTTTCGGGGTCGCTCCGCGGGCTGTTCACGCCGAGGACTGTTCTCCGCAGGTGCTGGTCCGCGCCGCGTCGCCATGGTGAGTACGGTCCCTGCCTGCCACTTGCCCGGGGGAAGCCGAGAGGGGCCTGTGGACTTCACCGTCCCCGGAAAGCGTCTGTCCCTGAGTTTACTCTGTTCTTTTTTGGACCGCAGCCTCGGAAAATTGAAGAAATCAAGGACTTCCTGCTCACGGCCAGGCGGAAGGACGCCAAATGTAAGTGGTGGCCGCGAAAGCCCCGGATGAGCGGGGGGCGCGCGCGAGGCGGGGGCCCGGGGCCCGGGGCGGATGCCTTGCGGCTCTGCTGTCCCTGCGGTGCGGTGTCTCAGCCGGGTCTTGGCCGCATAGACGTGTCTCCTAGCTCCGTGCTGCGGGTTCGGTGGACTTGGCGTCCACCTGCATCCCTGGCCTGCAGGTACAAGGGAAAAGGAGGTGATGGATGAGCCAAAAGCCGTAAAGCAGCCGTTTTTCGGTTCTGCTGCCTCATTTTTTTGCACCAATCACTGAGGGGACTTAGCCTTTTACTTTTTCCCTGATGGTTGGTACTGGGATTTGAACTCGGGCGTGCTACCGCTTGAACCACGCCTCCACCCATGTTAATTAATTCTTTTTTTTATTTCGGTATTGGGGCTTGAACTCAAGATCTTCACCTTTGAGCCCGCTCCACAAGCTCTTTTCTGTGAAAGCTTTGTTTTTGTTTTTTTGTTTTTTCTGAGATAGGGTCTCACGAACTATTTTCCCCGGCTGGCTTCGAACTGCGATCCTCTTGATCTCTGCCTCCTGAGAAACTAGAATTACAGGTGTGAGCCACTGGCGCCTGGCAAAAAAAAAAAAAAAAAAAACAGTACTGGGATTTGATTCAGCACCTTATAAGCAGGCGCTCTACCACTTGAGCCATTCCTCCAGCAATTCTTTCTTGTAGTTAAAGAATATTTGGAAGCATGTGCTTGGTAAAGTTAGATCTTGGGTTTATATGTCGTGTTACTTTAACCCAGAATCGCCTTTTTTCTGCAGTATGACATAGTCCTGTGGATTCCTTTTCCTATGGTTTGTCTTAGGAAGCAGCAGGTTTATGGAAGCAGAACACTATTGTGCTGTGGTATTGGGATGAACAAAGTACCAAGTACCAGCCATCTCCTAAGTCTGACAGTTGTAGAACCAAAGGACACTGGTGGTGGGGGGGGGTCATGTTCCTGGCTGTGGCCTTTGATCCTATGGAGCTGTGTGGACTGGTGACACCTACAGTGAAAAGTCCATCTGGTGCCCATTGGTGCTGGGGACAGCAGATGGTGGAGTGCTTGTGTTTTGCATATGGTCATGCTATAAAGAGGCCATTATAGCTTATCTGTCACTTTAGTTCAGACTGTAGAGTTTGTCATTTCTTGTTCAAATCCCAGTTTTGCCAGGGGGTGACTGCTCTCAGCAAGTTAAACCAGATACCACCTTTCCTTCTGTTTACAGGGTGGGACTTGTACAGTCCCTGAATTTCTGTTTCAGGACTGATGAAAACATCAAATCAGGTCTCCATTGCTTTCCTTAAGAGGCTAAAATCCATATTCTTTTGAGGATGTTTTTGGGGACCTCATGGGGCTTATGAGGGTGAGGGTGACAGTCCCCTGGGTATAAGAAGTTGTTCAGTGGGAGTTTGTTGAGTAAACCATGACTTCCTGGTTTTTTAATTGTGATAAATTTACCATCTTAGCCATTGCTACAGTTGGCACTATACACATTAACATTTGCTGGGCCACCAGCACCATCATCAGTCTCCAGAACTCTTTTCATTTACAAAGCTGAATGGCCAGTAGACACCTAACTCCTGTCAACCACCATTCTCTCTATCCCTGGATTTGACATATAGATCCCTCATGTAGAATCAGTCAGCATGTGACCTTTCCTGACTGGCTGTATCACTCGGCAGAATTTCCTTCCTTATTAAGGCTAAGTAGTCAATTGTGTGGATTCGTTTATCTGTTCATCTATTGGTGAACATAGGTGTGCAAATAATTTCTTCTGTGGTTTTTTTTTTTTTCAATTCTTTTGGGTATGTACCCAGAAGTGGAGTTGCTGCATTGTACCACATGGTGACTGAATAGAGACTTAAGAGATCCACAAGCCTTTAGGAGTGGTGCTCAGCTTAGTTTATGATATGCAGCAGTCCATAGGGCAGTGCAGTATTCTTAGGGTTAGGGCACTGAAATGCCCTGGATGAATGATGGTGTCTGGACTTGTTAAAAGTATGCACCAGAGCAGCTGCTGAGCCCCAGTGCTGCTTCCTCCTGTGAGGTGCCCCATCCTGTTAGCAATTATTGGCAGAGATGGAGTGGTGAGATTGTGAGTACAAATTAATCTGCTTCTGCAAGGTTAAGCGCTATGTTTGTGTGTCTGGTTAGATGCTTGGGTTGAAGTACTAGATACTCGTGCTTTTTATAGCTGACTTGCTGGAAGCATCTGAATAGTTCTTAAGGATGTTGGAACAAGGAATTTGGCAGGTACGTGAAATGGCCAGCTCACTCCTGGGAAATAGTATCTTCAGGAGCTGTGGGGATGGAAAGGCAAGGACACCTACACAGAGCCAGGCTGTGCTGCAGGGTTTGAAGCTCTGCAAGAAGCATAAAGAACCCAGGAAACAGGTTCCACATAAGTTTTCTGAGAGACTTCCAGGGTGCTCTGGCCATTGGGATGGGGTATCCTGAAGGAAGAGCTCCGTGTTGGCTCAGGAGTGGAGCTCTGGAAAGTTCTTAATGCCAGCAGATACTCCATGTCTTTACTTTATGAACCATGTTCATCCCTTTGGAAAAGTAATATTTAGGTCAATATAGACTGTTCTGCAATGTGTTCAGAGTAGAAATCACTGTTTTAAATACAAATAAGTTGAAATTAAGTAAGCCCCCAGGCTCTTGGATATTAATTCAAGGAAATACAGGTTTCTGGTACTTCAAATTTTGAAGGATGGACGGTACAGGGAGGTGTGAGTGTGAAGCCCATGACCTGTGTAGCATCTGCCTTCTGTGGTCAATTTAATTTTAATTCTGGTCTCCTTGGTAGCTGTCAAGATCAAGAAAAACAAGGATAATGTGAAGTTTAAAGTTCGCTGCAGCAGATACCTTTATACCTTAGTCATCACAGACAAGGAGAAGGCCGAGAAGCTAAAGCAGTCCCTGCCCCCAGGTGAGTGAGCCTGAGACTGGCTGGCTGGCTGGCTGGCTGGCAAGGAAGAAGGTCCAGGTGTTGCCATCTTGTCTTCAAGTTGTCCCTAGAGTTGGAAAGCCATTCTTTCCAAGGTTTGAGTGGCTACTGTTGCTATCCACAGTGCATTGTGACTCTCAGGTTCCATCCAGTACTGGAAATGGCATCCTTGGCCTGGGGTAGTTAGAGCTCATTTAGTTCTCACAGCTGGCCTGTGCACTGGGAGCTGACACCAGTAATACTTTTTTTTTTTTTTTTTTTTGCAGGTAAAGGGCTCAGTTAAATCAAATGGGCAGATGGTGTTTGTATCAAACAATAACTTAACCAAAACCTCCTTTGTGAGCTATGTTTAGCTTAAGTACAAAGTCAAAACAAATAGTAGTAACTCTAAAAATGTTTTGTTTTTCTTTCCCTCTAGGTTTGGCAGTGAAGGAGCTGAAATGAATCAGACACAGAGAACTGTATTAAAATCTTAAAAAAAGACTGAAGTGTCCTTTGTCTTTGAGGATGGAAAGGAAGTGCCTTCTTGACAGTGGCACGAAGTAGGATTGGGAGGGTTGGGGTGGGTCTTGCTTGCTACCTTGTTGGGCTAGGATTTCAGCCAGCCTCTTTTAGTCTGCATTTGAAAATAAATTGATACAGGGAGGCCACAGTGGGAATAGGCAGATACTGGTGGAAGTACCAGCAGGCACTCCTGAGACTGAGGGGTTGCGGTAGAATAATGAGTCACCTTCTAATGAGAATGGAAAGGAGTTGACAGGTGCTCCTGGCAAGTAGCTGCCCATTTTCAGTGTTCCTTGAATGCAGGATGGGTGTGGGAAGTTTTTCATGCCTAGACACTTGGTGGGATAAAGTGGAGTCAAAAATATGAGATAGGGACTCAGGAGCCTCAAAGAGCAGAAGCAACAGGTGCTGGCCTACCACAAAGTGGTGGGACAGGCGAGGAATAAAGAGCATCCAGCAATGGGAAGTGGAGGAACCTTGGAATGGAAGCCCTGCCTCATCCAGGTGACATTCAAGAGCCTGTTTCCTGCAGGGACCAGAGTCGGGCCTTAACAGCTTGGTCCTGGAGAAGGCAGAGTCCCCTGGCAGATGTGGGGGTGGGAAGGGAGCTCTTTATAGGAGTCCCTAAAGAGCTGAATCCATGGGCAAGGAAGGGCCAGCCAAGCCCAACTGCCACTTGTTGAAGGGGAAGTGGCTGTGGTTCATGTTGGGATAGGCCACAAGGTGGTGCCAGACTGCAACAAATAAACTGCACAAACACTCGGAAATGGTTTCCATCGAAGTCTAGTTTTCAAATGTGAGTCCCTTAAGTGGGTTTACACACATACATCTCTGCTTTTAAGAAGTGTGGTATGCAGTCTACCTGGTATTAACTGCTTAATCGGGTCATAACCATCACTCCAATGTGTGGGTTCGGTCATTGGATCTGTGATGAGTATTCAGAGGCACCTTGTAGCTGAGTCTTCCCCATTCATTAGACATTGAGGATTCCCAAGGGAGAGCCAGAGCTTACTGCTTTGGGGTTCTTTGTCTCCAGCACATTGTCCAGAGCCTTGTGCCGGTTCCTAGGAGACAAACCCTACAGGACTTATCTGGCCTGGATCAGAGAAGGCATCTTTTTATACAGAGCTTCCCTCTCTGGCTTGTGCTGGAGTCACTGGGCACATTTGTGGTGACCAGGGCTGACCCTAGAGATCCTGGTTGAGTAGGCATGTTTTTAAGCCCTCAGGTGACAGCCAGGAATGAACACTTAAATGCGTTAACCTGTCAGCTTTAGTGAGCACCTAAGAGCTGCACCTCCAGGTAAATGGTGAAGTGTGGGCCACAGTTGTGCTTTGGAGCTCCAAAGCTTCCTCCTCCAGCCCTACCCAGTCCTTGGGAAGTTGTTCCTTGTTCCTGGTTGGCCTCTGCCAGTTAACCTTTATGTTGGCAGGCCTGAAAGCAGGTGGAACACTGCTGGATGCTGATGGGCTCAGCAGGTTTTGCTCTACAACCCCAAGGGAGAGAGCTCTTTGCTTCTTCAGTGTCAGGAGGAGCACAAGTCCTGCTCAGGCCCAGCTCTGGGCTCTCCTGTACCAGGTTGACCGTTCAACACCCAAGAGATAACTGACTCCCACTTCTGATCTCTTACCCTCCCTGATCAGAGGCACTGTGCCGATCACAGCTGTGACTAATCCCCGAAATGAATAACAGACCTCTGGAACTCCATCTGAAAATAGAGTAGTGATGGGAGTCTGTGGCTAGGATAAGCAGTGTTGGCTTTCTGGGCCATTGGCCTGGTAGAATGGGCAGCTCAGTTTCCCGGGCAGTTGGGCTGTGGTTGTACCATCAGGCCAATGACGAGCTAGGGCAGAGTCCCGCTTCACAACCATCTTCCTCAACAACCTGAGGGCATTTGTGGGAACTGTGGGGTCATGGGTGATCTGACCCTTGCTTATCTCACTGGCCTCTTCTTATTTTTTAAGTGTCGATCTTTTTTTGTGAACAGGTCTATGGATTTTGACAAACTCTTAGGGTTGCGTAGTCAGTCACTACTACAATCCAGAGGACATTCTCATCACCCCTAAAGCCCCTCCCACCTAGTCCCTGGCAAGCAGCCACAGTTGTGCCCTGTACCCACACCTGAGATGGTCAGTGGCTTCCTGTCATTCCCCCAACTCTGTTTTTCCATGGCTTGGTTCCCCTTTCTTGTCCTCTGGTACCTTGTTCCTGATAACACGAGGTCCTGATCAGGCTACACAGAACTTTCCCCAAAACAGATAACTCCCCATCATCAACTCATCTCACTGTGGTTCTTCCAAGCACTTTTAAAATTAATACTGTGTTTTAAATATATAATTATATGTATTAATCACTGCAGATAAAAGATCTCCTCCCCTCCCCTATTAGACTCTAAACACCATGCACACAGGAACATGTGTGAGAAAGAAGGTACCTGATAAAATGGGCTGAATTCGGGGGAGGTGGGGAAACGGGACTATGAAAGGACTCTTCCAGCGTGTCCCTGGGGCCTCAGCTTTTCCCCTGTGCGGAGGAGACCTCAACCTCCAGGCTCCAGAAACTAGAATCGCGCGGGCCGCCAGGAGAGGCAGGAACACAGGGCACAGCTCGCTCTTCTAGCTCGGGGATCTCTGACAGAGCAGGGGCATCTGTAGTATGTCCCCTCTAGCAGCCAAGCGTGTCCGCGGGCATTTGCATGGCACCCACATCCACGCGGTCCTCCTAGCTGGAAACCTAGGAGGCCCTCCGGTTCCCTCCCGGATCTCCTTTCTCACCCACCGGCATGCACCCTCGGACTGCAGTCCCTACTGTTTGCAACCAAGTCCTGCCGCGATCCCTTGGCCACCTCAGGGACCTCCCTTGGTCACCTCAGGGACCTCCGCTGGCCCTTTCCTGTCCTCCACCGCCTCCAGCCTGAACTTCTTGCTCCTTAGGCACATCAACCTGGTTGTAGTCCCAGGCAGGAGGATCTCTTTAAGTGCAAAGGACTGAGGGCCAAGGGTCCGCAGGGCTCTGCGGAGGGCAGTTGCTTCCGGCGGCTTCCCGGCCCTGTTTCTCTTTCACCCAAAAAAGCACCCTCAAGCTCAGCACGCGTGACGCCTCGGTGCCACCGCCGCCCGCACCCCGAAGGTGCTGTCCGCACGGGGACAAGGGCTCGCATGGGCTTTGTTCACTGATGGAACTGGGCCTCGCACTTCGTAGCCCCAGAAAATGTGCAGTTTGAATGCTCTTCCCGCCACTTCCTTCGCTCCATTGCAACCACCCTCCCTTTCAGACAGCTCAAAGGCTCCTTGCTCCGAGAAGCCCGCCCTGTCCCTCCTGCCAGGAAGCATCAAGAAACTTTTCTCGGAAACAACTAAAATAATTATATTATATTATACATTTGAAATAGATACATTATAGATTGTAGATAAATAGATAATGACTTAGTGGGTTTATCTCAGGAATGCAAGTTGGACTTATTCAATTCTCCAAATTACCACAATAAAGAAGAAAAATCAAACAATAATTTAAAAAAAAAAAAAAAAGAAACTTTTCTCGGTTCCCAAAACATCTCCTTGTCACTCTGGGCAGTATTCAGTTAGCTCTTAGGGCAAATGGGCCGGAAGCCCCCGAGGGCAGGGACCGCGCCTTATTTCTCTAAATTCTTATAGTTTACACAATAGACATTCAAATAAAAGATTGAGAATGGATTTAACCAGGCGTGGTGGAGTATGTCTGTAATACCAGAGCTTGGGAGGCGGAGGTAGCAAGATCGCAAGATTGAGGACAGGAAGACCCTATCTCAAAAAACCCTGCGGGTGTAGTTCAGTGGTAGAGCGCTTGCCTATTATGCAAAAGACCCTGGGCTCGATCCCAACACCAAAAAGGGAAAAAAGTGAACTAAGGGCTCGTGCACTAATTGGTACTTTATAATCTTGACTTTGATAGTAAGTCATTAATATAAAGCCTGGGGACTTAAAGACTAAAACTAACTTCTGAAACCTCCTTCCCCCTCTTTCGCCCTCAGGTGGCTGCTGCAGGTTTTCGGGCGGGACCCTGGAGCGGGTGCGGGTGCTCGGGGTCTGGGAGGAACCCGGGAGGAGTGCACGCCCAGAGGGGGTGGCGCCTGAACCGTGGAGGGGCGGGGCCGGCGCGCGTCCCAGGCCGGGTGGCAGCGGCGACCGCGGCGGACGGGCGGCACTACGGCCAAGCCATGCCGGCAGCGCGCATGGAGTACATTGCGCCCTGGTGGGTCGTGTGGCTACACGGTGTCCCGCACCTCGACCTGCGCCTGCAGCCCGTTGACAGCATTTTCAACCCCGGCGATGAGAGTTACCAGGAGGTGAGTCCGCGCGCCCCAGACGCGGACCTCGGGAACCCGACCGCGCGCGCACCCAAGGTCCCGCGCCACCCGATCTCCCTTCCGCAGGCAGCTCTCTCCACGCGCCTCTTAGAACCCCGCCCCCCGTCCCCCGCGACCCCTTTTCCCCTTGCTTTTGTCCCCACGATCCCCCCTGGATGGGGACTTTGGGGTTCGTGAAAACTGGAAAGATCGGAATGGAACCGGCGCTGGGAAGTGGAGGAAGCGCGCAGAGCCTGCCTGCGGGAGGCGGGGACAGAGCGCCCCGGGCAGGGCAGCGCGGGGTGGGGGTGGGGCGATCGTGTCTGGGTAACTGGTGTGCGAGGTGCGATGTCCAGGGGCACCTCGAAGTTATTGTCCTGAGGCTGCAAGACCCGACGCTCTGTTTCCAGAGCAGCGTGGCCTGCGAGAAGTTTAGGCAGAAACTGACTTGCGTCTCTGGAGTCCGCAGCGCCCCTCCTCCCCAGCCCCTGCCTGCAGGGTGGGAGCTGCTGCCAAGACATCGGCCTGGGCCCCTTCTGGAAGGCTGCAGGACTGGGGGAGGCGACGTGAATGCCTTCCCCCTTGCACAGAGAACCCACAGCCGCGTGTGTTTGTTTCAGGAAGAAAGGTGGCCTCAGATCAGTTTCATCTCACTCCGTCATCCTGAGTTCCCCCCTTGAACTGACAGCTAACCTCCTCTTTGTCCTCTCTCAGGCCTGGGCTGGCCGTCCCTGTCTTCCTCTGCACGTCTTCCATACCTTCTAGGCCCCGAAATTCGGGGAGTACTGCCTGCCACACCCCTCATCCTTGCACTTATGTCCTTTGCCTTTTGTGGCTAGGCTCCTGATGGCCCTGCCAGACAGCTGCAGTCCAGTCTCCTAACCTGTCTCAGGTGTGGTCAAGCCCTTTCGGGCCACAGCGGCTGAGTCAGATCCCTACTTTGGGTCAAAGATTCAGGGGCCAGGCACGAAAACCCCATTTGCTCAGAGCTGTGTGCTCATCTCCAGACTTTGACCCTGAAGGCCTCTATCTGCAGTGTTAAGGCACCGTCTCCCCAGCTCCCTTATGGGCAGTTGGGCTGAATGGGGCCTCTTTGGAGGCTGTCCTGGAAGGAGTCACCAACTCCCCTCTTCCCTCTCCAGGCCTTCCTGGAGTTCCCAGGGGGACTGACTGAGTAGGGTGTGCATTGCCCAAGCACCAGTGACAGTGACAGGGAGACTAATAATAACCCTTAGTGTCTGTGCTGCCTTCAGACCCTGGCAGTTGGTGCCTGTCCTTCCAGGAGGAGGGAGAGTCAGAGCCCTCCGTACTGTTGGGGACACTGAAGCCCGGGGGCCTGGCAGTAGGCGTGCCTGGCTCCCAACCCCATCTGATCCTACCCCTCCTTCTCCCAGAGCCCTGCCTGTGAAGGCGGCCTGCGGGGGATAGCTCCAGGGAACCTTCCACTCCCTGGGAATGTGTGAAAAGAGGCGGATAAAATTTCAGAGACAGCTGCGTTGTTGAGGGTGTGCCCCAAATCCTGCACCATGGTCCTAGCCATATTTTTCTCCTCTCACTGGAGGAATCTGACCCCCCCACACACACAAGTAGACCCCTAGGTGGGGAAGGGGTGGTAAGGGCACTCTACACTACTAGTCCCCAGATGGCACCTGTTTTGCCAGCAGCTGTAGCTGAAGGGGCTGTACCTGCCCCACCCACCCCAAGTGCCATGGACGGGTGGCAGCTGAACCAAAGAAACCTGCCCCTGCCCCTCTCCTTCAGTCCCCTTCCCATGGCCATTGCTCCTGCCCCTGCTGCCACCACCCCCACTACCACCCCCCCACACACACACACAATATCCTGGACCTGCTAGGGTGGAGGCAGAGCACTAAATGGGAGATGTAGTGGGCCAGGACGGAAGCCTAACTTTGGATGTTATTTAAGGTGACTCCTATTTTGGTAAGTCCCCCTGTTGTCTGACCACAGGTCTTTCTTTTCCGCCTGGACACCAGTCAGAGCCAGAGCCAGGCAGCTGGTCAGTTCACAGCATGGGTTCATGTGGTGGGCACCTTCCACTGTCACCTCAAGTCCTTAGCAAACTTCACTGGGGCCCAGCAGTGTTCTGCTGAGTGACAATAACCAAATCAGCAGGAGCCTCGGGAACAGTGGCTGAGGATCATGGCAGCCAAGTAGTTTGAGGCACGGGCTCTGCCGTCCCACGGGCTGGTTAGAGTCCAGTTCTGCTGCTGTGTGACCATGGGCAGGTGTCCTAAACTGTCTGGGACTTGCTTCCCTCGTCATCTGCAAGTAGGAGATGAGACATTCCATGTAAATTGGTACAGAGGGTCCCTTAGCACATAATGGCACCTAGTGATACAAATCTTTAGATGAATGACCTTGAGGTTAGTCTTGGGTCAAGTAGTTCCCCATAGGGGTGGAGAGGAAAGAGAGCTACAGGGGAAACTGAAAAATACCTCCCGAATGAATAAATGAACAGTGCAGGCTTGTGGACATGGGTGTGTGTGTGTGTGTTTACGTACATACGTACATACTAATGTGCCTCAGAGACTAACCGAAGGTAGAAAAAGGCAGGCATGGGTCTGCAGGAAGTCTGTGTGTGCTTGGGATCTAGAAGGCAAAAGGATCTTAGAACCGAGGGGCAAAAGAGCATGTCATCTGGTGAGCAGGAAAATCCTGAGCAAGTTCATGTTTTAGAACCTCACTGAGGAAGCAGGGCCCCCAGTCACTTTCTGGGGTCTTTGGGCACAGTGCAAGACCCTGTTCCCTGATGGCTGACCTGCCCACTCCCATCCCTCAGTGAACTTGAATCTTCAGGAAGCATTTATTCCCCCGGCAAGCAGGGTGGAGGAGGAGGGAGCGAGACCCTGGTGGGTGCCCAGCTGCAGGCTGCCAGGCTTGGCTGTGTGTCTGGAGGGGGGAAGCAGCCCAGCCCTCCAGCCTGGTCACCTTTGACAAGTGAGAAGGACCGGATGTGGCCATGATCCCTATTTCAGAGAGCTAGAACAGGGCCTGTGAGCCAGCAGATAGAAAACAGGTGATTGCTGCCTGGCACATTGTAAATGGCCATAGTCCCTCCCTTGGAAGGCAGAGACCCCAGCTGGCCAGGTGCCCAGTGGGCAGTGCCAGGGACAACAGAAAGGGCCCTAAGTGCAGCTGGGTCTCCCCGAACAAGCCACTTAAGTTTCCTCCTTGTCCAGGTCTGTCACATCACCATCTACCCAGCCCCCTGGGGAGACCAGACACCAATGACCCATCTCTGCCTGCCCTGGTCAGCGGACCAGCCATTCTTGGGGTGTGTGTTAGGAGGCAGATGGAGTATTTGAGCCACTCTCCCAGCTAATTTGTATAGTTAGGCTGTGCTTTTTTTGGGGGGGCGGTTTCAGTTCATAGACTCCCCCTGAGTCCCAAGTGTGTGTTGTCAGGCCATAGGAGGGAGCAGAGTGGTAGATTTTTGGAGAACTATTGGTCCCCCAGGTGGGGGCAGGTCTGAGAAGGAAAGGCTAGCGTAGCCCCACACCAGAAGAGCTGAGGTCAGCCTGAGAAAGCCCCGTTCCTCCAGCCCAAGCATTGAGTCACAGTCATCAGATAGTCACGCAGTCCACATGGGGTTAGCCCTTCCCAGTTGACTTGGTAAGGGGCTCTCTACTGGGTGCTCCAGGCTCCCCACCACCCCCAGCCTCACACTGAGGCCAGCACACCTCTCCTGGGACTATTGCTTACCCCTCGGGGTCCAGCCACCCCAGGTTGGGTTCTGAGTAAGTGCTCCTCTCCACCACGGGGTTCTCATTACAGAGCGACAAACCAGAAATAATTGAAGTAGCTTTGATGAGGAGACAGAGGCTGGCATGGGGGCTGTAGGTGGGCATGGTGCCGGGTGGGATGGCGAGGGAGTGGTGGCTGCAGGGCACAGAGAGAAGCTGGGGTACTGTGGGGGATTGTTCTTTCTAGAGCTCCATGTGAGCAGAGTGCTCAGCTCCCTTTTCTATCCCTCTCCCCCTCCCCCTTCCTGCGCACTGGGAATTGCGTGTTAATTAGAAACAGGAAAATAATTGCTTATTAGAAAGCAGCAGGTGACACCAAGTCTTCTGGTTGCTTAGGCTCTGCTACCCTTCTCCCGCCCCACTTCCTCTCTTCTCCCTTCTTCTTCCGCTCCCACCCATATCTCCCTCCCTCCTGTCTGCCCCAGTCCTAAGACACTCCTACTCCTCTCCTTGTCCCCCTAGCACCCTGGGAGCCCAGGGTTCCAGAAGTGAACTGCTAACAAAAGGCTCAGAGTTAGGGTTTCCCAGGCATGGCCTTCCCACCTGGACTGCGTTATCAGTGACCTAATGAGACCAGCTGCCCAGCCAGGAGGGCTCCAGACTGCAGAATCCCAGGGCCTCAGAGGAGGCCTGGGCTACAGGGGGGTCAGGGGCTGCAGGAAGCTCAAGCCAGCTGCAGTGACTCAGGGGAGGGGGCTTGGAGAAACTGAAATGGCACCACTCACGTCTCATCTCACCACATGGAATGTGGAGTGGGGCACATGGTAGAGGGGAGAGACTGGAATAGGACTGTCCTGGAGGAAACTGGGAGGGAGGAGCAGCTGGGGGAGAGGTCTGGATTATAGCTGGGCTACACGGAAGGCCTGCCAGGGCTTCATGCTTTTTTTAATTTCGAGGAATAACTGACTGGAACGTGCACAATCTTAAATGTGCAGCTCACTGACTTTACTAGTGTGCATGTGAGTGTGTGACACACTACCTTGGTCAAAGAATGCTCTTGATCTCCTACAGTAGCTGCTATTTGCCCCTCCCTCTGCAGGTAAGTCTTTCTGTTTCCCCTTTCATATAAATTCAACGTATCTGCTTATCCTCTGTGAGATTTGTCTCCCTCCTCATGTATAGCTGCTGTTGTCGTCTCGTGGTGTGTAATATTCTATTTTATGACTGTAGAACAGCTTGTATCTTGTAGGCAGACACCTGGGTTGTTTCCAGCGTTTGGGGATTGCTGGGCTGAGCTCCTGTGAACCTTCATGAGTGGATCTTGTAGGGGCAGAAGGCCTTCTTTCTGTGAAACAATTCCTGAGGTCACAGTGTACATATTATATTTCATAGTGGTTTACAAATGTTAAGGAGATCCCTGGTTTTAGTAGTAGGGCCTCAGGGTCTGCAAGGGGGTGGCCAGGACAAAGTGAATGTCTTTTTCTTTTTTCTTTCTCTTTTTTATTTTTTGAGACAAGGTCTTGCTAAGCAGCCAGCCTGGCCTCTAACTTTCATCTTCTTGCGTCAGTCTCCCAAGTGCTGGGATTATAGGCATACACCACCACACCTGCCCAAAGACTGGGATACCTAGAGCTGGGCATAGTGGCAACTATAGAGGCAACTGAGGCAGAGAGATCACCAGTTCCAGGCCAACCTGGGCATCGCAAAGACCCTCTCTCAAAAAACAAACAAACAAACAAAAGAAAAAAGTGACACTTCTGTCCACTGAGGCTCCATATATCAGAATCTGCTGAGTGATGCAACTCAAACTGCTTGGAAAAGGTTTAGAACTTCTGCCGGCACTAATCCACTTCTTCCAAGGCCTGAGTGAGGTGCCCAAAGGTGCTGATGGGCTGGACCCAGGGGAGGGCTTGAGATTCCCCAGTGCTAACAAGCTCCAGGGAGATTTTTGGTGCTGCAGTCATAGGTCAGGTTGTCACATGGTGGCCTTGACTTTGAGTCCTGAGACTCTAAAACCCCACTCACCTTGGCCTCCTTCAGCTTGCCCTGGGGCTCTAGGACCCTCCAGTGAAGGAGGGGATGGACTAGGGGCTGGGAAGTGGGTAGTGACTCCCCCCAGCGGGAGCTACCTGGGTTTACTCCAGAAACAGGTAAGCTGATAAGTGGTCCAGGGAAGAACAAGTGCCAGAAACCCCCTTCCCCCCACCTCCACCACACTTGAGGACAGCAGAGGGGCGATGTGCTCAGATGCACTGGCCCTGCCTTCTTAGCTAAGTGAGCGAGTTCCTGAGGGGGCCTGTGACAAGTGTCTCCCTGGTGAAGGCAAAAGCCACGTGTTAAGTCAAATCCATCAGCCTGATTCCAGATGAGCCGGCCCCCTGCCCTCTTTGGCTGTCCTCGCCACTTCTGTCATTTGTCCCTGAGAAGCCTGTGCACCCAGGTTGGCCATCAGAGGAGCCCAAGTCTGGGTTCCTCTCAGGGCTACACAGCTAAGCAGGCATCAGGAAGGGGCAGGTGGCTCCCACAGGCATCCATGCTCCTGTGCTCTGCCTGCCTGGAGAATGGCCACAGACGTCTGCCTCTGTGCCTCAGGCCGTATCCCTGTGTGTACCTCTGCACGTGGCTTGTCCCCCTAAACCTTTGTGTCCTGCAGACTCCCCACCCTGCCAGTAGCCACCACCAGCATACAGGTTCTGCAACACAGACTCTCCTGACAGCCTACACTGGGGTGCCAGGGACTCTAGACAGGGAACCTCTGGAGGCCTGTGGGAAGAGAGGGGTTGTCAGTCTAGGAGTCTGACTTAGAGCCAGGTCCAGCCCTGGCTGGCTGCCACCAATCCTGGGGCCATCTGGTGTCCATCTGGCTGAATCAAAAGATTGAAGGACGTGACTGGGGGCAGGGAGGGAGCATCAGGCCCTTCCCACAGACGGCAGCTCTCCTTGCAGGACTGTGAGGTGCCCCTCCTGCCCCCTCAGAATTCTGGCTTCACTGCTGCCCTGGCACCTGGGCCAGCTGTCCCTTGCTGGATGTAGAAGAGTGACGCCAAGGGTTGCTTATCCTGCCTACCCCATTCCCCAGCACAGAGGTGGCCTTTTGGGACTCTGCGTGGGCCTCAGTGCTTGGAATTGGCACATTTGACTGTGGTGTAGAATGGGAACTGGCCTGGCGTGGTGGGGCCCTTGGTGTGGAGGAAGCAGCTGATGTGCCAGCATCCCTTCCTGGCCTCTCTCAGGTCCCACTTGGTACTGAGATACCCTGTGCAAACTCTGTCTCCTCTAAGAGGCCCCAGGATGCTCTTCTGCCTGTTTTCTGCAGCCATAGAGCTCACTGCCCACCCTCCTCGATCCAGTCGTCAGTTCCTGCCTGGTCTCCTTTGTGGCTCAGAGCCTGTTATCTGGCCCGGCTTGGTCTGTATCTTCACCTAGGTGTGGAAGCCAGAAACCTGGGGCCAGCCATGCCCAGTTCTCCTCCCCCACCAACCCCTCCCAACCACTGAGCTCACCCACTTCTTCTCTGTCACTCCCACCCTGGAGCCTAAGTGCTGGCACTCTGTTTACAGGGTAGGACTTAAGTCATAGAGGTGGGATGGAAGGACGGACTGGATGGTATGGTTGGCAGACATATATCTCAGCAATAGCTTCTGCACCCAGTGGGGCGCCCCACTGCCAGGACAAGAGGTGACACTTCCCTTCCCCTTCCCAGTCCTTGCTGTTCCTGGGGCTGCTGGCTGTGATGGGCCTGGGCCTGAACCTCGCCTTCCTCATGGCTTACCTGGTGTGTGTGTGCTGCTGCCGGCGGAACCATGAGGTACAGACCAAGCAGCGCAGCTCCTGCTACGTCACCTGGACGGCAGTGGTGGCCGGGCTCATCTGCTGGTGAGTGTCTTGGTGTGGTGCAGGGGTGCAGGTCAGTCTGCCAGGAGGCAAGGTGGCAGCTGCTGCAGCAGACCCAGTGGAGGGAAAGCCAGCCTGCTTGGGCCCGAGCATCTGTGTTTTACTTATGGTTAGTTCACCTGTGGCCATGACACCCACCTTCTCCCTTGACAAGCCCAAGTGACTCATCAGCGGTGTGGCCTCGTTCTCCAGACCCAGCTCCTGCCTTCTGGATGAGCATTTTGTCCCCAGTATAAGTGTTGTGCCTATTCTTGTCAACCATCTTAGCATGGTAAAGGGGAAGGGTCTCCCTAGTGGCCCCAACCCAGGTCTGTGCCTGGAAGCCACACAGGTCCTTCTCCGTGTTGACCAGGTGGCATTCGTGGACATCTCTGTCCTGTCCCCACCCAGTGCACCTGACTCTGAGAGCAAAAGAAAGTCATAACTCCAGCTCAAGTCACTTCCATCTTCTCAAGATCAGTAGCTTTTAGGACCACCTGTTGGCTCTTCTCTTTGCACTGGGTGAGGAAGTGAGGCTCTCTAGCCTGTGGAAGAGGCCGTGCTGCCCGGCCCACTCCACCCCGACCAGTGTCCACACGCACCCAGTGGTGTTGGCATGCCAGGGACAAGGCAGAGCCACCAAGTCCTTTATTCTCGGATTTCTTTTCCATCAGGCTACACACTTCCTTGTGGCCCAGGCAGGACCCGTGACACCAGGAAACACTAAGAGACCTTCATAAACAGCCAGGACTATTGCTGGTCCTGGAAGGCCACGTGCAAGTTCACAGTCACTTCTGGGCCATCTCTGATAAATCCATAGACCGGGAAAGGGGCAAAAAACTGGAATGACCCCTTCTCAAAAACAAGGAAAGAGAATTCAAAGAGAGAAAAGCACCACCTTCACGTTGCACCCCAGAGAACACTAGGTCCAGACTTACACAACTAGAGGAGAAAATTTTATGTACAAAGAGTAAACAAAGGTATTTTTCAAGTACATAAATTGTTTTAGGGCGAGGATGTAGCTCAGTGGTAAAGTGTGTTCACCTACCAAGTGTGAGGCCCTGAATTCGAACTCCAGCACTGAAAAAAACAAACAAACAAAATACCTGTTTCGCTTTCTTTTAAGTAAAGTTACGACTGGAGGATGGTGAAAATACCATGTATTTAATGTGTAAACGCATCAGCTGAGCACTTAAGAGCTCCCAAGTACCCTGAAGAAAGAAAAAGGTCATGATGGCAGTGGTGTGTGTGTCACAGAGAGAGACAGAGACACAGGGACATCAACCGTGTAAGAAACTTGCTTTAAAATGCACAGTTCTGCTGAGCATGGTTGCAAACACCTGTAATCCCAGCACTGGGGAGGCTGAAGGAGGAGGATCTCACATTCTAGGCCAGCCTGAACTGCATGGTGAGAATCTGTCTGAAAAGACCAAACTGAAAAATAGATAAAAATCCAATGCATAATTCTCAGACCACACAGATTCTGTGGGCCCAGGGTAGGTGCTGCTGGAATGCTTATTCCAGATTTTTTTGTTTGGTTGTTTGTTTGTTTGAGACAGAGTCTTGAACTTGTAATCCTCCTGCCTCTGCCTCCCAAGAGCTGGGATTACTGGTATGCACCACCACACCTAACATATTCCAGATGATTCTGTTTCTATAGCCCATGGGTCACTTCATGAAAAACACTGGATTAGGGTTGAGGGTACCCTGGAAGAGGTTTCTCTTACAGCCATCTCAGGAATTCCTATCTAGGCCCTGTCCAGAGTTGGCTTTTTGTTTTTTGCTTTTGACGGGATTGAGGTTTGAACTCAGGGCTTTGTACTTACAAAGCAGGAGCTCTACCTACCATTTGAGCCACACCTCCAGCCCACTTTGCTCTGATTATTTTGGAAACGGGGTCTCACAAACTATTTGACCAGACTGGCCTGGAAACACAATCCTTCCAATCTCAACCTCCCCAAGTAGCTAGGATTACAGGCTTGAGCCACGGGAGAGGAGCCTGGCTCCCTGTCCTGTTTAAAGAAAACAAGAACTGAGGGTATGTGTAGGCAGGTATACATTTATCTTTTCCCCATCCCCAGATTAGTGTTTTGGACAGTCTTCCTGTGATCCCAAGAGGTGTGGATCAGATAGAACGTGGTCGATGACAGAGTCAAGATTTGAAATGATTTGTTCAGACTGGAATGTTGAACTGAAACCAGCCAGATGAAATTTCACAGAGATAGATTTCAAGTTCTGCTTTTGTTAAAACTAAACAAAAATCAATACAGCAGTATAGGAAGGAGGGGAAACAGGGCTTAACCGCAATCCCTGTAAAGAAATCCAGGGCTGTTTGTAGACCACAAGGTCAGTGGGAGCAGGACGGGGCACAAGGTCAGGTATTGGTGGGGAAAGGGACCACATGCACACGCACACACACGTACACTTGGAGCTGGGCAACAGCCTGGGCTTGAGGGCTCTTCTCAGAGCCCAAGTTTAAGGGCTGGAGATGCAAGTGGTAGAGCACCTGCCAAGCATCCACAAGGCCAGCACTGGAAGAAGAGAAAAAAAATAAAGCCCAAGTTTAATAGTGACATTGGTCATGTAGACAGTTGTGCCTAGAGGACAGTGATGATACAGATCTGCTGGACATAAGGTCTGCTGCAGACCTTAGCCCCAAGAAGGACACATGTCTGACTTGCATAGCAGGAAGTAAGAGGATATCATGGGAGCCATGCTGAGATGTGTGACTCTGTGTCATGCAGAATTGGAGGTTTATTCCTGGCTGACCCAGAGGACAAACCAGGACCCAGTGGGTGTGTGGACTAAGGAGGCAGACTTCAGCTCTGTGTAAGCAGGAATTATCTACAAACTAGAACTTCACAGGGGAGCCCAGGCTGCCTCATGGCTATGTGGGGAGGACAGGGGAGATTGCAGTAAATGGCAGGAGAGTCCCTACTTCCTAAAGGTGTCAGGAGAGACCGGGGTTGGCACTGAGCATGTGGTCTCACTGACCTCAGCAGCCCCCAGAACCCACTGGTGACTGGTGCAGTCCCTGGGTAGCTAGTGAAAGTGTGGGTGCCAAACCCACCACAGCAGAAACCCCAGGGCTGGCCACAGCCTTTCAGAGTCACAGCTAGGACGGCTTTTCCAATTGGCCATATAAAATGTGCTGGAGAGCCAGTTTGCTAGGATGAGCTGGCTTCTGTTGTGTGACTTTGGGTGGCCCTTAACTGCTGTTCCCAGACATCATCCCCCACCCCAAGCCCCATAAAAGACTCCATCAGCTGAAGTCAAAAGCCCGTACTCTGTAGGTGTTTGTAGCAGCTTTTATTCAGGATTGCCAAAACTTGGAAGCAGCCAAGATGCCCTTCTGTAGCTGAGTAGATAAATAACATACGACATGTCTGGACAATGGGATGTCCAGGGCTAAAAGAAAATGAGCTGTCCAGTCATGGAAGACGTGGAGGAAACAGCCAAACTATGGAGACAGTACTGAGACCAGGGGTTGAAGAGGGGCAGGATGAATAGGCAGAGCATAGGGCATAAGGACAATGAAGCCACTCCATATAGTACTGCAGTGCTTTGCAACACCAAGATGGACTTGGTGTAGACTTCAGGTGGTCATAACACGTGTACCTCTGCTTCTCAGGTGGAAGGAATGCTCCGATCGGTGGTACAGGACGTCGGTATGCACACATAGGGGAAGGGGTGTATGGGAACTCTTGTATCTGCTGCTTAACTTTGCTGTGAACCTAAAACTACTCTAACAGGTTTTTGTTTATGTTTGTTTCTTGGTGGGACTGGGGTTTGAACTCAGGGCTTCATGGTTACAAAGCAGGCAGTATACCACTTGACCCACACCTCCAGTCCATTTTGCTCTGGTAATTTTGGAGATGGGGGTCTCTGAAACTATTTGCCCCTTGATCCTCCCAATCTCAGCTTCCAAAGTAGCTAGGATTGCAGATGTGAGACACCTACACCTGGCCAAACAGTGGGTTTAACGCAAACATTCTCCTCTGAACATTACCTCTAACTGTTGTTTGGGGTCTTGCTTGTAGTGCTGCGGTGGGCGTTGGTTTCTATGGAAACAGGGAGACCAATGATGGGGTGCACCAGCTGATCTACTCCTTGGACAATGCAAACCACACCTTCTCTGGGATCGACGAGCTGGTAAGGCTAGTGGGCAGTTGGCTGGGCATGGATACAACCCATGAGGTCAGTGTGGCCAGAACAAGGGTGCCAGTCCAGTCCTAGAAGTCAGCTGAGTGGCTGATTCAGGCTGGACTCCCTTCTGGGCTGCAGTTGCTGTGGGTGGTTTCTGCTTCCCAGGCCAGGACAGGATTGGGGGCCACTGTGGGATCAAATCCTGTTTGTTTTCAGGGGAACTGAACACTCCTATTTGTCTAAGGAGACCTTGAATGTAGGAAGTCTGCCCTGCCATGTTTTTCGTTGTTATTTTGGTGGGAGACTGGTGTTTGAACTCAGGGCTTCACACTTGCAAAGCAGGCACTCTACTGCTTCAGTCACACCTTCAGTATATTTTGCTCTGGTTATTGTTTTAAACAAAAATGTTCTTTATTTGTACAAAGCATTAAAATCTTCTCAGCAGTTTTCAGTTATTTGTCAACAAACTTTTCATTGTATTCACTTAACAAGTTAACCGCATCCAGCTATATTAGACCACCTGTCAACCCCAAATGCTCAGGTGAGACAAGAAAGTGCTTGGAGTACTAAAGGGAAGAGAAAAAGGCTAAGATAGGCCAACACAGATGCTTTAGAATCAATTAAAGGGATGGTTAGAGATCAGATTCCTGTGCACCACCAGATTTCCCTTAAGGTTTAGAGGAATTTTGCAAAATCATTCTCTTTCTTTCTTTCTTTCTTTTTTTTTTTTTCCAAAGTAATTTTCAAAGACATGACACGAAGGAACCAGAGGAACCTATGCTTTGGAATATTAGGCAGGTAATCAAAGTTCCTAGATTGGCAAATGCACTGAGTAAGAGGGACAGAAGGTGGGAATGGGAAGCAGAGGAGAGGCAGAAAAGAAATAGAAGCACAGAGGGGAACAGTTTAGCCTAGAGGAAATAAAGTCTGGAATTCATCATGAGTAAGAGTATAAAAAGCCACAGCCACGAGTCTAGGAGATGATCTATAAGAAGAGAATGCCTGGGATTTTACACCTTCCACGAAGTGACAGTAAACTCTAAAGCTGTACAGTGGCAGGCGGTGAGGTACATCTAAGACTAAGTCATCTGTTTTGTAAGACAGTGGCACTCTTGCTTGACCCATTTCAATCTACACTGCTTATTCAACAGCATCTGTGAGTGCTGGCGGAGTGGCTCAAGTGGTAGAGTGCCTGCCTAGCAAGCATGAGGCCCTGAGTTCAAGCCCTACTACTGCAAAAAAAAAAAAAAAAGAACATCTGTGTCCAGAACACAGCTACCCCAGCTAGTAAATATCTACAGGCAATAAAGGAGCACTACAAGCCAAGTGAGCCTAAGAAAAACAAAACATATGCAACCGTCAAGTGAAGAGGTGACAGAATAGACTTCATTCTTTTCCCACAGCTTTTCAGTAGTTTCCTAATTGGTGTGATTATTTTGGAGATGGGATCTTTCAAACTATTTGCCCTAGCTAGCCTCAAACCTTGATCCTCCCAGTCTCAGCCTCCCAAGTAGGATTACAGATGTGAGTCACTGGCACTTGGCTACCACTGTGTTTTTGATGTTCACTTTAAGTGCTACAGACAGAATCCTGTGGGGTACAGGAGATGTTGCAGGAAAAGGGAAGAAGAGAACCTGCCTAGCAAGCTCAAGATCAAACCCCAGATCCATAAAAAAAAGAAAAGCAGAGCGAGAAGGGCCCTTGGGGTGGGGAGATTCCGCCCAAAGCCTAGGGGCTCTGGCTTCTGATGGGACTCCAGCTGGAGGCTTACAGTGGAGGATTGTGTGGGGCTGGTCAAAGGAGAAGCCAGACTTTTAGGAGAAGGAAAGAGCTACTCTGCTGAGTGACAGACCCCAAGGTCAAGGAATCAGGTTTTCTCCTTCTTTCCTTTCCATCTCTTACCCCACCTGCCTGTCCACTGGTTTTCTGGGCTGTCCCATGGCAGCCCTGGGTGCTTCCATAAGACTAGGTTCTAGTGGAAAAGGCCAAGGACAGCTTTCAGAAAAACCAGTCCCTGGGCATCTGCCCCATCCCTGAGCCAGGCCCGTAGCAGAAGGGTGACAGCCCCAGCAAAAGGTCCATTCGTGTCAAGCAACCTCCAACACAAAACCTATTGCTGACTGCCCTGGCATCCAACAGGAAAACTCAGGACTCAACCTTGTTTGCCCCCTCCCACTCTCTCCCTTAAGCTCCTCTAAAACGCTTAATCTCTGTAGGCCCTTCATGGGGACTCACTTAAAGAGACAGCTATTCTGTTCACGGTGCCCATGGCACGGAGAGGTGGCCTCTGGCCTCCAGAGAGGGTCCTTTCAGGGGCTGAGGGAGAGAAGCCGGACCAGAGCTGCTTTGTCCTGCAGAGCTCTTCCAACCACCCCTTGTGCCTACTGGGACCAGTCCCTGGGAGACAGTCGATGCCCCAGGTGACTAGAGTGGGCAGTTAGGGTGGAGTAGCCTCATGACTACTTCAGGTCAGAGAGAACTCACCCTCTGGCTCCCCACCCTCACCTACCTCAGGCCTAGTGGAGAGGGGCACTAGGGTCACTGCCCTCTGACCTCCGCCTGCCTCTCCTTGGCCCTGTGCTGCCTCCCCCTCTTTACTCATCAGCATCAGAATGGTTAGAAGAGAATTCTTTGCCCAGCAACACCCCAGGACCATGACCTTCACTGGCTGAGCCACCAGTGGGAAAACTTGAGTTCTGTAAGTCCTTATCTCCCGGGAGGAGGAAGAGGAGGAGAACAAGGCCAAGGCCCTCAGCACTCCAGGGTCAGATTCTAGTGCTTGGCTGCAATTCCTACTCTCTACTACCCCTGCCCCCACACTCCTAAAGGGAAGGGTTGTCACCCTGAAGATTGACCCCTCACTCTCCCTACTAATACCAGAAAGTAGGGACAGTTGTCCTGGGCTTCTCGATGGTCCAGCCAGCTAGGAGTGGCTTCTGTCCCCTTCCTGGCATCTATGAGGCTGATTTGGGTCTAGGATGGTGGGGAGTACTCAGTACTCCCAGTCCTTGGGGCTCTAGGGGAGGCAATAAATCTTAGCTCCAAGGGGAGAGTCCAAATATCAGGTGAGTTAATGTCAGTGAAAGTGCCCTCCCTGTAAACTACAAAGTGCACTACAACTGGTGACTCAGGTAATGAGTGCCATTATAATAATTACTGTAATCACCTCGAAGGGGAGGAGACTGGGGGTGGGGGAGACTGTGGGTGGCAGAGTTGAGGTAAGGAACTCATTGGGGCAGGGTGGGGGTGGGGGGGGGGTCAGATGACTCAGCCTTAGGCATTTTATAGCCCAGATCAGCAGCCAAGTGGTGGACAAGAGATTTTCTGGGACTGCCCCCAATACAGAGCTAGTAGGTCCTCCTCTACAGTCCCCTTTGTGGATGAGAAGCCCCCACCTATGCCTTTCCACCCTGAGGGAAGCCTCTGTCTCTGTGGGCTGGGCCACAGGCAGCCCTGGCAGGATTCAGGGTCAACTGCATACTTAATTTAGGGGAATCAAAAAAGCGATCAGAAAATTGTAGAAAAGGGCAGAACAGGTTCTGCCTGGAAGCGAGGGGGGTGTGGGGGAGAAATGGCCCAAACAATGTATGCACATATGAATAAATGAATAAAGAAAAAAAAGGGATCCATTGGGGGTGCTGGGTGGGCAAAGGCCAATGGTTCCCTTCTATAGATCCAGCTATCTGGTGAAGAGGACCCGGATTTAAGCACCTTACCCAAGGGCCCAGGCCCATTTCCTCACCTCTCAGGATTTAGTGAACTTTAAATAAGGCCCTGGGCTCTGGCAGTCTCGTGAGCTCTGCTGACTTGTTTTCCACATTCCAGTGAGCCTACAGTAGGCTGTGGACAGGCACAGGCAATGGCTGAAACTAACACATATCACGAACCACAGCCCAGGTCTCTGGCCTTAGCCCTATGTTCCTGCCCACCCCCCTCAATCCACCCCTCACCTGGCCAGCCCCTTTCTCAAGTGGAGTCATGAGGTTGAGCTCTCTCCCTCCCTCCCTCCCTCCCAGAGGTTTTCAGCCATGAGCTTGCATCAAAATCACCTGGAGGGCTTATTGCACTCTGATGGTAGGGCCCCACCATTGAGTTTCTGATCCTGCATCTGTAATGAGCTCCTAGGTGATGCCCCTGGTCCAGGGACCACACTTGGAGAACCACCGTTATCGCTACCTTCTAGCTGGGGCCGGCCCTGCCTAGTGGATGAGCTGAACTGTCTTTCCCAGAGCCTCTGTTCCCTTGAGAGAGCCAGGCTCCACTCTGAGGCATCACACCTCTGTCTCCCTGGGGAGGGGCACATTGTGTCCTGATCCTGTGTGGAGCTGGGGACAGTGTGGGGATGGACAGCTGTAAGTAGGTCAATGTTCTAATTGTAATTTTTTTTTAAGTTTGTTTTGTTTCCTGTGGGAAGACACCAGGAGGAAAGACAGACTTGGTAGATGTTTATTGTCTTGTGTTTTTATTTGTTTTTGAGACAGGATCTCACTATATAGCCCAAGCTGGCTTTGAACTCAAGATCCTCCTGCCTCAGCCTCCTGAGTGCTGAGATTTCCAGGCTTGCACCACCACACCCAGCACATGTTTTATATTTTCAAGGAGAAATCTGAGAAACAGAGAAGTTAAAGGTTTAGAGCTGTAAAAGGAGAAAAAAGTGTTCTCTGGGGAAAAAAAAAATTACAGATAATTTTTCATAGTCCCTTATTCTAAAGTTTGTCTGATATAGGAATATAAAAATTATACATAGTACCATGTTTCTTCTGATTGTCATTAATAATACTGCCATTTGTCTCAGTGGTACAAACCTTTTGTACCTTTATCTTGTATTAACCAGGCACCAGGCACAGGGGTGCATGTCTGTAATCTCAGCTACTTGGGAGGCCGAGGCAGGAGGATTGAGAGTTTGAGGCCAGTGTGGGCAAAGTGAGTGAGATCCTATCTCAAAAACAAAATACAAACAAAAGGGCTTAGGTTGTAACTCAGTCGTAGAGTGCTTGCCTAGCATGCAGGAGATCCTGGGTTCGATCCCCAGTACTGCAAAAAATTAATTAACCAGGGAAGTTTATTAGGACGAGACTTAGTTGTTGAATGAACTGTGACATGGTTTGGGAGTTTTCTTCCCTATGTGAAGCAACCAGCTGTGGAGCCTGTAAGGCATGGAGTGTCCCTGTCTTGGTATCTCTTAGTCCTTGTCATATCCTGATAACCAGGAAGTCTCTGTGTAGGACAGATGTGAAAAGCCACAAGGTTTATGTGAAGTCCCAGTGGTGCCCGAGCCCAGAGCTGCCCTTCGTGCTGCGCTCTCCCTGTGGGAAGGCCCTGCCCCTGCCACTCCTTTTTATCTTGCTGACCTCTGGAGCCAAGGCTACTGAGGAGGATTAGCACACACTGCCCCCCTTCCAGCCCATTGTGTTTCTGGGTTTAGCGTGGCAATTTCAAAACAACAATGCTCTTCTTTCCCATGCCACCCCCTGCCATCCTCCAGCCTGCACATAGGCTCAGCAGACAGTTCAGGCTCCCAGGCTGCATCCCTGAGCCTGGTGGTTTGATAACCCCTTTGCATATAAACTGCACCTGCACCCTTTGTTGGGACACCAGCAAGAATAGTCACTGCCATTGTCCTTCTGTTTTTCCCTTTGCATAGACAGACGCTCTTTTGGGGTCCCCTCAGCCCCCAAGGGACAGGAGCCTGTCCACACATCCTGTAAGTCAGAGGTCCAGTGAGGTCATGATCCCCAAGAGAAGGCACCTGTCCCCCCCTCCTGTCTCCTGTCCCTGTCCAGGCTCTTCAGAGACGGCATTGGGTCTCTCTGGGTTTTCAAAGTCCTATTGTTCTGCCCGTCCCAGTTCAGGACACTGTGAGCTCTGCAACAGAACCCTTCTCTTCTAGGGTATTTACGAGCCCTACTGTGGGAATGAAGGGCAGGGAGGCGGCACAGGAGCTCGTCAGTGTAAAATGTTTTATTTCTCTAAAAGAGAATTCATAATCCAAAGTGTGGCAAGCTCTAAGAGAGTCACCAAGGAAGAAAAATGGATTATTTTGTTTCTCCATTATCTAGTCTCTTATCTGAAATGCTTCGTAATGCCAGAAGTATTTAATATTTGGGTTTGGAGGGGAAGGATTTTAGAATAGCCATATAGACTTTACCGTTAGAGCTTTGGGGTGGTTTGGATTTGGGGTTTAGAGATTAGGGTGCTCAACCTGCAGTAAGGTCTTAGTTAAGGCCAGATCATGGTCTGCCACCTGGTTTCAGGAGCATATGGGCTAGGTGAGTGTCAGTCAGTCAGCTCTCTGTCATTATAAAAAATATCCAAGATAATCAGCTTAAAAGTTGAAAAGGTTTGTCTGGGCTCAGTGTGGGAGGTTTCAATCCAAAATTGGTTGGTCCCAATGCTTTTGAGCAGCACAAAGCTGTTTACCTCATTGTGGCCAAAAGTAAAGAAAGAAAGAGGAAGGGCCGGGGTCCTAACATCTCCTACAAGGGTGCAACCCCAACAATCTGAAGAGCCCCCACTAGACCCCACCCCTTAAAATTCCTGCCACCTCCCAATATCACCAAGCTGAGGACCAAGCCTTTAACACATGAGCTTTTAGATCCATACGGCAAGGGGTTTAGGGCTGGAGACCTGGTTCAAGTAGTAGAGTGCCTGCCTAACAAGCACAAAGCCCTGAGTTCAAACTCCAGTACCACCAAAAACATAAACAAGAAAAAAAATGGTAGTTAGGTAGCAGTGGCTGGCACCTGAAATCCTAACTACTTGTGATTGAGATGTGGGGGATTGTGGTTCCTGGCCAGCCTGGGCAAATAGTTTGCGAGACCCCATCTCCAAAATAACCAGAGCAAAGTGAACTGGTAGCATAGCTTAAGAGTTAGAGCACCTGGTTTACAAGTGTGAAGCCCTGAGTCAAAACCCAGTCCCACCAGAAAAAATATATGTGCATGTATGTGTGTGTGTGTGTGTGTGTGTATTTACACACACACATGTTTATAGTAGAGGTTGCAGGGCCTCTGTCTTGGGTCCCTCTGCAGGTAGCAGCCTCATGTGGTCTCCAGGGCAGGGCCAGCATGGTGTGTCCCTTCATGTCCATGTAGCCAGCTGTCGTTGCTTAGGAGAACCTCGAGAAGCCTAGTGTCCTCCTACCTCAGAGCCAGACTCAGCCTTTGCCCCGTTCTAGGTGTCTGGAAACACCCAGAAGATGAAAGTGGACCTAGAACAACACCTGGCCCGGCTCAGTGAGATCTTCGCCACCCGGGGTGAATACACCCAGACCCTGAAGTTGATGCAGCAGATGTCAGGCAATATCATCGTCCAGCTCTCAGGACTGCCTGTGTGGAGGGAGGTCACCATGCAGCTGACGGAGCTGTCTGAGCAGACTGGCTATGTGGAGCATTACAGGTGACGGGCCAGGAAGGCAATGGCGGGAGGGGCACCACCCCATCCTTACTCCCTCGCTTAGGTAAGCAAACTCATCCCTACATTCTGTAGCCTCCAGGGGTCCATTTATGTCTCGCTTGGCCTCCTCATCCCCCACCCCCATCCCGGTTGATGGCTCTGGAGACCCCAGACTGGCTTGCCCACCCTCTGGGTGCAGGATCTAGGGCAGGTCACTCTGGTGGAAGCCAAGACATAAAGCAGCTGTCTCCGTCTTAGGGTGATCCCTGGCCAAATGGCAGTGTGTACTTGTAAAGTACGTGTCACATGTAAGATTCATGTCATTGTGCTCCCAGGGCTGTGTGCGCAGCACCGAGGAAGCATGAAGTTTGGTCACATATGTTACATGTGGAGGACAAGTATTAGTGATCTGAATCCCGTTATTTCTCCCTACCAACACACTGGCATGCACACACGCACGCGCAATGCCTTGGCCCCTCTTCAAGCTATTGATGGGTCACAGTCTTTATTTCAGCATTACACAGTACACCTTGGTTTTTTGGACTTTTTTCCCATTGTATCATAAAGCCCTGGGAGGTCACTGCTGGGCTGAGTCCAGAGGAGAGGCTCCAGAGAGATAGAGATGCCTCCACAGTATTCCCCTTCCCAAGAGGGGAGCTGATGAAGTCCCAGCCCTGGGTGGTGCTCCTGCCTCTGGCCTCCCACCCTCGGCCTGTCCAGCCCTGCATTTCCATGATGTCAAGGGCATTCAGGATTGAAAGTAACCTTGGTCAACTCTCCACCAGATGGATGTTTGTAAGTGAAATGCCTTCTGCCCCAGGGACAGAAAGAAACTACCAGCTCTGAGGACTGTCTACAACTTTCTGTATCCCAAAAAAATGGTATTTGAGGAGCCCTGTGACACATGGACCATTCATTATCCAAGAGCCTTCAAAATCTTTCCATCAGGGAGGGTGGAGTATCCAATGTGGGTGTCCAAGTTGACCAGACCCTTCTCTCTGAGTGTACCTAGCTGAGGGACAGCATTTTGATAATGACCGTGAGGAAATAAGTCAAGATTTGCCTATCAAGAGGGACTTATTGTTGATTTTTTTAAAAAATAGAAGGAAGGCTGGTGACCAAGGAAGAACAAGTATTTCAGTGGATTTATTGAAGGGACTCCTCTAACTTCCCCCAACTCCACACCCCTTATTCAGCTTGAGGAGGAAAGATCTAGCTCACAGCAGTCCCCTGTGGCTCCTGAAAAACGATGGGTTCTGTTGCAGCCGCCATCTCTGCCACCTGAGCTGTTGTAGCTCCCAGGCTCCTTCAGAGAGCCTCCCCAGCCTGGCTTTTCTGTGGTTCTTAAGCATAGCCAGCCATCAACATTTTACACAAGGCCCAGTGACTTGGGTAGATAGCAAGCCAGAGGCTCACAGTCTGGGGATGAGGCGTGGACCTGGAGTTTGCAGGGGCCGGATGTGGTGGGGCTGTGGGAGTTGGGCGGTCAGAGAGGCTCTGTAGGCCTGAGCCAAGTCCTTGATGAGAAATCCCTCCCCTAGTCCTCCCCGGGCTCCTCTGCCTCAGGAGCTGTTTCTAAGAACAGCTTACGCACGTACTAGGCGTGGATGCAGAAGACACATGGGATCACAGCTGTGGAGGGTGGGCTCCCCGCCCGACTGCCCCCAGCTGAATTTCCTGCAGATAGAAGAGTTGGGAGGGAGTGCCACATGGTTAGGTGATGAACCTATGTCTTGAGAGGTGCCCATGGCTGGCTGTGTCCCTTGCAGGTATGAGTATGGAGTTCCCATGGGTTTCTAGAATTCCTAGCCAGGCTCCCCCTGCCATGGGCCTTGACTTAACAATCTGTAGATAGGATCTAACATGAGCTGGTTCCTTCCAGCTGTGGTTCTAAGAAAACTGGCTCCTTGGTGGCTTCCAGCAAGTGCCAGGGAGGCAGCCTGTGCCTTTTCCCCAAAGCCCCAACTCTCGACTTCTCTGTTTCTGGGAACCCCAGAGTTCTGCTGTGGCCCATACCTTGAGCAGTATGGGGACTGAGGGGTCTGACTGGGCTAGGCCTCTGCTTTTGGCATTAAGCCTCCATTCACAAAGGCAGAAAGAACCACACTTGGCTTTCAGCAGCTTCCAGCTCATGTCCTCCCCCTCGGAGCCTCTTTGTCACTTTCTGCCAGCTCCAAATCCCACCCCACACTCTAAACACTGTCTTACCCTCCTTATGGTTTTGGTGAAGCAAAAGTCCATTGCTGGAAGATGGTGGGGTGGGGAGGGTAGGGAACCAACAAATTTATTTGGCCCTTGCATCAAGAGAAATAATGGCCAAGACTTCCCTCTGCAGGGACTGAGAGAAGTCCCCTGTCTCTGTCCCCCCATTACCCAGACTGGCCCCTAGCACAGGGCAAATGGATGTGGCTGCTAGCTGAGGCTGGTGTTGCATAGTGAGGGCCACCTTGGGTCCTAATTGAAAGGGAAAGGACCAAGGGCATTTTATTTAGGATTTGCTTGGTGTTTTTTGGTTTTGTTTGTTTTTTGGTGGGACTGGGGTTTGAACTCAGGGCATTACACTTACAAAGCAAGGGCTCTATCACTTGCCACACCACCAGTCCATTTTGCTCTGCTTATTTTGGAGATGGGGTCTTGTAAACTGTTTGCCAGGGCTGGTCTCTCCCCATGATCCTTCCTATCTCAGCCTCCCAAATATGTAGGATTACAGGTATGAGTCACCAGCACCCAGTTTTCTTGGTGCCCTTGGACTTTAGGTTCTTGGAGAAGTAGGAGAGCGGGGACAATGCATGAGGGCTCCAGCTTCCTTTACAGATAAGGAAACAGGCTCGAGGGGACCAGGTGGCTTGCTGTCCAGTTGGTGTGTGAACTTCCCTACATCAGCTCAGCCCTCGGGGGCACAAAGGCCCAAGGAGCGAGGGGCAGGGAGGCCAGAAGTTGGTGGGTGCCTGGGAGATCCTGATCCTGGTTCCCTTGTCCCACCAAGCTCTCACCTGATGGTCAGGAACAGTCCCTCTCACTTGAGCATCCCTGGCGCCAAACTCAGTGCCTGGCACAAATATCAATTGAAGTGAACCTAATGACCTACATTATAGATCTCACACAGCCAGGACAAGGTGGGGGGCCAGGCTAAACATCCACCAAAGAACTGGGCATCTCAGATCTGTGGCTATAAGTGCCAGGCCTTGCTTGGTGTGCTGACATCTGAGAGTTCTAGGAACAAAGAGAAGCAGGGTCCAAGGAGGTGCCTGCTGAGGGCTATGGGGAGACAATAGCTGCTCTAGAGGTCAGACTTTTTATCTACTTTGTGAAAATACTGTTTCACAGGTTTCCCTCCATCATGGATGGGCACGTAGCATGCAGGACACTTCACATCATAAGAGCCAGGAAGCAGAGAGATAAGATGCCTGCACTGGTGGGCTCTTCCCGTCTTTTCTCCTTTATTCCATCCAACCCCCTAGCCTATGGAATGGTGGCACCCACATTCAGGATGGGTCTTTCCTACTCCCCCCCACACCCTCCCCTTAGTTAGTCATCTGGAAACACCCTCCCAGACCTACCCAGAGGTGTGCTTTGCTAATCTCCTAGGCTTTTGTCAATCCAATTATGTTGACAAGATTAACCATCATAGGACTGGGATGCTCAAGGTCCTAAGTTCAAACCCCAGTACTGCCAAAAAAAAAAAAAGATGACCCATCATATTTGCACTGTTCTGTATGGTTGCCTCCAGCCATATGTGGCTGTTTGAATTTATTTAATTTTAGGGCCGTGGCACTGAACCGCTTAGCATGTGCGAGGCCCTGGGTTAGATTCCCAGCACCACACACACACACAAAATAGTAAAAATGTAATAAAATTACTTAGAAATTCATTTTCTTCCCTGCACAAGTCACGTCTCCAGTTCTTAGTGGCCACCTGTGAGTAGTGGCAGATAGAGTAGATGACACAGATCTAAAATATTTCATCACTGCAGAAAGTTCTAGTGCACAGTGCTGACTTAGACACTCTGCCAGGAGACTAAGAAAGGGGTGGGAGAATGATAGTTTGTCTAGGTAGAAATGGGGATGTAGTCCCCAGAACCTCTAAAGCCCGTGTCCTGGACTCTCGTTGGCTCTGGGTTGCTGTGCCAGCTCCCAGTAGGCAGCAGGTGGGTAGTCTGCCCTGCTGGCACTGACCATCCCTCTGCCTCCACCCAGGTGGCTCTCCTACCTCCTGCTTTTCGTCCTGGACCTAGTCATCTGCCTTGTCACCTGCCTGGCACTGGCCAAGCGCTCCAAGTGTCTTCTGGCCTTGTGAGTAGACCTGCTCATGGACCTGGGACAAAGAGCTGGGCAAGGTGCTACCCACAGAGAGAGGCAAGGGCCTGGCTAGGCCCCAAGGGTGGCCATAGCCAGGCTGTCCCAACTGAGGGGAGACAGCAGGCAAACTCTTTCTCTGTGTGTCCCCTCCCTCTCTGGGTCTAACTGGGGTAACTGAAGGAAGGTGACCCAAGCCCAGCACCTCCAGCCATTGCTGGCCAACACCTCCTTTTCAGCTATGTTCTCACAGCTGAATCTTCAGCCCCCTCCCAGTCTTAGCAATGCCCGTAGTGTGGTAGGGTCCTGCCTGGGAGGAAGGGCTGGCCATGGGTAGGATGACTGCCCCCCCCCCCGCCTCCCCACCTTTGCGGGGGACCCATGGCATCTGTCTTTCCTAGGATGCTGTGCTGTGGGATGGTGACGCTGCTCCTTAGCTGGGCCTCCCTGGCCGCTGACACTGCTGCAGCAGTGGTGAGTGGGGGGGGAATGGGGGGGGCAGGTTCTTGGAAGATTGGTCTGACCAGGACAGCCTGTCTGGTGGTATCCCGTCCAGAGCCCCCAGGCTGTGCTAGTTCCAGCAACAGTCCTTGGTGCTCGGGAGCACCCCAGAATCTAGAACTGAAGGGCTCATATCACTTTGGCTAGGCCCAGAGACAGGAATGGACCTGCCTAAGGTCATGACGGGGCCTCTAGGGGCAGAGACAAGATAAGACACCACTGCTTGTAAGGGCATGCATAGGTGGCCAGGTGGCTTCTGTGTGGGTGTGAATTACTAACCAGGGTGGGGGCTGGGTGGGTCTAAAACCTGGACTGGAGGAGCCACCAGCTTCCCTAGCACTGGGAATGTGCAAGTGGCACTTACCTTGCCTTCTGTCCACTGTCCTTGCACTCACCCACACTTGAAAAACACACGTGTATGTTTCTGGTTGTGGCTCCTCAAAATGTTTTTAAAATGGAGGGGTTTCCTCCATAGGAGGTTTGGTGCTGAGCTGCATGCGTGAGTCTGTCTGCTTATTCTCAGCATGGTAGAAAACCCAGAAGGGCATGGTGTTGACTGTTAGAGTCACCGACATGGAAGGCAGAAATGTAGGCACATCATTGTGACATGGTGTCACTCACTAGGTGGAGGCACATGTTCTGAGTATGCGTGCACCCAGGTGCGTGTGTGCTAGAGAGAGGTGCATTTTATCAGAGAATTTCAAGGAACCCCTCACTGGTTTGAGGGCCACAAACCAAGGCCGTGGTCTGCACCCATTCTGCTCTAGCTACTGAGAGATAAAGGATGGGAGGGTCATTCTAGAATCCTCTTCCCAAACTCACTTGCCAGGTGCGTCAGGGGATCACCAGGAGCTCTAGTCTTAGGCAGTTTGCCTCCAGGATGCCCACAGAGTGAATGGCCCCTGGTGCTGCTAGGCTCTGCTGCTTTGGGCAGAGGCTTGTCCAGAAGTTTGGGGAGGTGGGTGTCTCCTATCCCCCTGCCCTGTGCTGTGTGGACTAGCTCAGAAAGGGGCAGGGTACGAGTGCCCAGGTCATAGTCAAAGCATCTTGATGGCCTCTGGAGCTGGGAGGGCTATAAACAGTGTAGGGAGGGGCTCTACTGATCAGAGCAACGGGCACAGCTGCCTGGCTGGTAGCCTTTCCCCCTGGGACAAGCTCGAGCACAGGGAAGCTTCCTGTGGTGAGCTTTTCTGGGGCCGTCCTGCTTCTGGGCATTTCTGAAAGTGGTAGCTTCCAGCTTGCCACCATCAGCTGCTCCTTGGGAGCTGCTCCCTCCCAGCGGGGGCTTTGCCGCTCACCAGGCTTCCCGTTCAGGGAAACCACAGGCGATTTCATCTGCAGCCGGGTGCCCTGGAATGCCAGGGAGCTGGGAGCAATGCCATTTCCCTAATTCCTGTAGTCAGGCCCTTGTGCCTGAGAAGGGGGGTGTGAGGCAGTACTGAATGGGCCTTTGATTGGCCTGGGGATGCTGCAGCATTTTAATAGGAAGAGGGGCAAGGAGGAGCCTAGGGGGAGGGGAACGGGTGGCCCGCTGTCAAGGGGTCATTGTACAGAGCTTTTGTGTGGCTTCAGCTGCCACCCTGCTCTCTGAGGCCTGTTTTGAGAGCCATAGGCCAGAAGACTGACACTGCCGCCCCTCCTGCTTGCCCTTCCTCCCCCAAAGGCCTCTATAGCACTGAGAATCTGCTCCTCCAACTGCTAAGTTGAGGGTAGCTGGGAACTGGGAGACCGAGCTTGGAGCCTCCAGGCCTGTGGCTTAGTCATAGCTCCCCTGACCTGCCTGGCCACCCCAAGTGGTCAAGAGTGTCCTTGTCCCCTGTCACCTCTTCCCAGCAGTAGAACCTCTAGAAAGTTACTAAAGTTTTCTGTGCCTCAGTTTCCTCATATGCAAAATGGGGAGAATAATAGTAGCTGCCTCACAGGGCTGTTGATAGGAAGATGAGTTGGTTAACCAGTAGCTGTCATCACTTCCTACACACTGATTCTCACCAGATGAGGGTCACGGGATGGCCCCTTCAGATGGTCACCTCTGTTCTTAGGAACTTGCTGTGGCCTTAGCCACCACCTGGCCTGAGTTCTGGGCAGCTCTCCCACTTACCCCAACTGCACTAGGTGCCCCCTTCCACATTACTCCCCTCCCCCCATCTCATTGACACGTTTGCATATATATGCCTGCCCACCATATTGATAAGTCATACATCCCACAACATCCCAACTCACCTGTTCCAGGAGATGTGGGCTAGAGGGTAGCTGAGGGTCTGAAACCTAGGCCTGGCCTAAGAAGGGAAGGAACAAGAGTCCACATCTGGGGACACCTCCAACAAAGTTGCCTCTCTCTCTCTCTCTCTCTCTCTCTGTCTCTTTGGATCCCAGACTTCTTGAGGGATGACCTAGATCAAGATGGTGGCATCACTGTGTTTCCCAAGGCTTCCCCAAGCCCCCAGCCTGGCTGCCACCTCTGTGCCAGTCCACCAGGCCTGCTGGCACTGCTGCTGTGATTGGTGATAATAAGCTGGCTGATTTATTATGCATGTTTGTGCATAATGCAGTTCCCCCAGAGTCCTGAGCCCATGATGATGTGTGTGTGTGTGTGCATGTGTGCGCGTGTGTGTGTGTGCATGTACGTGTGCATGCACATGGGGCTCTGAGGAAGCTTTGTATCCAGAGGGTCTGTTGCTCCCCCAAATCCCCATATACACATTTTCTAGTCTAGGTTCCACAACACAACTCCCTGCCTGTCCCCTGCACCCATCCTAGAACTATGCCTAGGACGAGTAAGTGTACCTCTTATCAACTCTGTGAGTGAGGGGCGATGCTGCAGTGTGGATCCCAGGCAGGGTCCCTGAAGGAGGATGGGGCTTCTGGAAGGGAACAAACACTCCCAGCATGGGCGATAGGTCCAGAGCTTCCCCTGGCTGCTCTGACAGGTGGGAGGTCACCTAGCCAGACCATGGTGCTAGTCCAAGTCCCCCATTTACTCCCAGCCCTGTACTTTTCTCATCGCTTGTCTGGGCAGTGAGTACCTGTTCCAGAAGTCTCCAATATGGCTTCAGCTCTAGCCTCAATTGTTAGAGAGCAATCAGGGAAACTTTCCATAGATGGACCACCAGAGTGTGCAGGGCTTGATAACAGCAAGAAGAATAAAATTAGAAATAAGCAAATGAGCCTGGGGTGCCGAGAACCATCCCTTCCTCCCCGTAACTGCCTGTGGCCCAGTTCAGCAGCCTCCTGAGCATCTATCCCAAAAGACAGTTGGGAATAAGAGCATTAGTTAACATGCTCTCTGCCACAGTCACTTCCCATACACTGATTCATAAAGTAAATGGTACCATGTACATGTGACAGATGAGACCACTGAGGCGCAGAAAGAACAAGTAACTTGTGCAAGGTAACAGGGAAGAGCCAAGATTTGAACCCAGGAGCCTGGCTCCCAACTGTTCTTTTCTATCTGGAATGAGCTGGAGAACAGAAGGGCTCGGACAGCGGGCTCTGGACTCTAAAATTCCTCTTCCTCTACCCCCTCCTGTCTCTCCCTGACTCAGGGCACCAGTGACTTTTGCATGGCTCCTGACACTTTCATCCTGAATACCACGCAGGGCCAGATCAGCACAGGTAAAACCCTTGTGGGACCTCTGCCACTGGAGCCACTCTGGATGCTCAGGCCAGGCCCACATGGCTAGCCAACTGTGCCTGTACTTCTGTACTTGACCTCTTCCAGCCCTGGAGTCACTCAACCACTCCCTGCCCCAGACTTCAGGCTCAGCTGAACCTCTGGGCCATTTCATAAAATCTGATTCCTTTGGGAGCTTGGGGTGGGGTGGCAGGCCTGGCAGGGGGTCTAGTCTTTAGTAAGCTGCATGACACCTGTGTTGTTGCCTTGCAGAGGTGATCCGCTACTACCTGCATTGCAGTCAGAGTACAAGCAGCCCCTTCCAGCAGGTACAGTCACCCAGATGCACCCTTACCCTGCCCACAGTCCCTCTGCCTCTGGACCCCAAACCCCACACTGACTAGGAAAGTGGATGGCTGGGCTTTGTTTCACTGTGGTCCTCATGTAGCCATCTCTCTGAAGGGGGCTGTGCTCTTGGTCAGTGTGTTTCACACAAATCCGTTTTCTGTTCATGTATGTGCACCTCCCTGGGGAGCTGGTTACCATGCACATTCTAGGTTAGGAGGTGAGGGTGGACCCAAGATTCAGCATTTCTTACAAGTCCCCAAGCAAGGCCCCTGTTACTGCTCTGAGGACCACACCTAAGTAGCAAGAAGCAAAAGACTGCCGGGTATGGTGGTATACACCTACATGTCTGTAATCCAAGCACTTGTGAGGATGAGACAGGAGACTCATGAGTTCCAGGCCAGCTGGGCCTCTGTAAGACCCTGTCTCAAAACAAAGAAAAGAAAAAGAAAAAAAAGAAAGCAAAGGACCACGTAGCTCTCAGAAGGATGGAGAAAGACTTACCAGACGGGTTGACCAGATGTCCGGGAGTGAACAGTAGGAAGCAGCCTCTCCCTTTAGGTTAGGGTCCCCTGGTGTTCTAGAGTTAACCTGATCCAGCTCCTGCCCTCTACATTCAGGTGCAGACCCCCCCGCAAGACCAACCTGTGCATTTGCAGCCAGTTGGAGGGGGTGGGGGCAGTGCAGGAGGACAGGTCCTTTGGTAGCTGTGGGGGCTCCTGGGAAATGGAACTTCACATGGGGCTGCGATCTCTTGACCTAGGCATTGACCACCTTCCAGCGCTCACTGACCACCATGCAGATCCAGGTCATGGGGCTCCTGCAGTTTTCTGTGCCCCTCTTCCCCACGGCAGAGGTAAGGCAGCCACCTCCCACGGCACCTGTGCTGGGCAAGGGGAGCCCCAGGGGAACCCCAACACCCTTTCCCTGGCCCCACCCCCACCTCAGCACCAAGGCAGGGGCATACTACTGGTTCTGTATTCCTGCTGCAGTGGCTCAGCCCCTTCCTTTAGCTCCTTGCACACTGATCTTTGTGGTTTGATTTCCCACACCACTCACTCTCTCCCTCTTTCCCTCTGCCTGCTTCAGAAGGATCTCCTCGGGATCCAGCTCCTCCTGAACGCATCGGAGACCAGCCTTCACCAGCTGATGGCCATGCTGGATTGCCGAGGGCTGCACAAGGTGCTGGGGTAACCCTGGTGGGGTGCATGGAGGAGGTGGAGTATCCCAGTGGGCTACATCTTCTGAGAGAAGCAAGTAGAGACCTAGGAGAGTGACTACCTGGGCTCCCTCCATGTCCAGGAATGTCCAGCTAAAGCTTGACAGTGAAAGTGGGAGGAAATTCCTGGCTTCCTGATTCACTCCACTGGCTGAGAGAGGGGGCTCAATAAAAGGTACCAGGGGGCAGGTATATAAGGGCTGGGTCAGGTTAACTTTAGAATACGGGAAGACCCTGACCTATATAAGGGAGGTAGTTCTCCTTGGTCCAGACTTCCAGACATCTGGTCAACCCATCCTTCTCCCTGGGTTGCAAGTCAATATCCCAATCTCATTGCTGGGGGTCATCTTTCCAGAAACTTAAATTATCAGATAGACTCAATAAGACAGTTGTGGTGGTACATGCTGTCATTCCAGCACTCAGGAGGCAGGTGCAGAAGGACCATGAGTTCGAGTCCAGCCTAGTCAGGTAGCAAGACCATAGTTCAAAAAAGAAAGGAAAAGAAAAACTCATATATACACAGCAGCACAGGGAACACAGTGAATGTATGAGCAACCCTGCTAAGCAGTGAGCCAATGTATGTAAACATCTTTCACGTCCTATATGGAGCTCATGATAGTGGTCACGACTGCCATTTATTAAATGGTTAGTTCTGGACTCAGCCCTGTCCTGTGCATCTTATGTCCAGTTTGTCACTTAGTCCTCACAGTTACACCATGAAATGGTTATTTCATGGGAATTTTATAGATAAGGAAACTAAAAATGTGTGTGGGGATAGATGGATGGATGGATTGATATAGATATATAAACATACATGGGGGGTTATATTTGGACATAGCTATGCAGTAGCTTACTGAAGGTTCCAGAGGGGGACTTGGGTTTTGGATCCTGGCAGTCTGACTTCAGAGCTAAGAACGTGGGAGTCACCCTTGTCCCTTCTCCCCCTCCCCTGTCACCCAACCCCTCAGCAATTCCTAGCCAACTGTCTTCTCAGATGAACCCTGAATCTGCATCCATTTCTCTCTCTCTCTCTCTCTCTCTCCCTCCCTCCCTCCCTCCTTCCCTGTCTCCCTCCTTCTCTCTCTCTGGCTTCCATCACAGTCCAGGCAATGTCTGCTCCTTTGGGTGACAGCCATGACTTCCTAACTACTCCCCTGGGAGTCAGGACCCCCTTCCACTTCCTCTTGCTCCATTACTACTCAAGACCTTTCACACAGCAGCCAGAGTAGTCCTTTGAAAACACGAGTTAGTTCCCAGTCTTTCATCCCTCAAGCCCTCTGAGGTCTCCCCTCCCCTATGGTAAAAGCCAGGCTCTTCCTGCTGCCCTTCTTCTCTTTTCTGAGGGTGCCCAGTGTGGCCCCTTGCCTCCGCTCCTCAAGGCTCGCTTCTCTTTGCTAACCTGGCCTCAGTTTATGCCACCTGTGGTCTGGCGACTCCCACCCTGAAACTTCTCTGTCTAGTTCAGGGCCAGCCCTCCAATGGCTGGCACACAGTAGGTGCTCAGCAGATGTTTACAAAGTGCTCCCAAGGAGCCCTTTGTTTGGGGCTCCAGAGCAGGGACTGTGAATGACGGTAAAAGATGCTTGGGAGAAGCCAGGAGATTCCAGGTCCAGTCTTGGGCAAAAGGGACTTCAGAGAAGAGCTCAGGCCCCAGGCTTTGCCCCCATTCCCTCTCTAACCATGTGTCCCCTGCTCCTCCCCCAGGACTACCTGGATGCCGTCACTGGTATTTGCTTCGACGGCATCGAGGGCCTGCTGTTCCTTGGCCTCTTCTCCCTCCTGGCTGCCCTGGCCTTCTCCACCCTGATCTGTGCAGGACCACAGGCCTGGAAGCACTTTGTCACCAGGTGGGCAGCCTGTCAGTAAGGAGGAGCAGCTGCACAATGGTCCTGGGATGGGAAGGGCAGCAGAGGCCTAGCATTGAGCCATAGAAGACTTGCTGGGTTTCTATATGAATTCTCCAAGAGTCCAGACAGATCTCCAAAAAGAAGTTAGGGGGTGGGGGGGCACAGCAGTTGCTGGAGCCACAGCCTGGCATCTGGTGCTTCTCTTCTGTTCCTTGGCAAGACTTTGCAAGGGGGAGTGATGCAGAGAGGGCTGCCCCAGGGAATACCAGGGAGGATAAATTGTATCGCTGTCATGAGAGGACCTGTGGCTCACAGGTGAGAGAGATGGACAAGTGGGCTTTTAGGTCCTCATGGAGCAAGGTTGAGAGAATTTGGGTGTGCATGGTCAACATGGTGGACTGCCTGGAAGAGGTGAAGGCACAGCTGGGAAGAGGGTGGGATGATCTGTATGAGGTAGGCTGTGGACCATGTTTTTGAAAAATCTCAAGTTTCACCTAGCCAAAGAGCAAGAGCCTCCTGGGAAGGAAAGATCTGGAAGCAGAACAAGACCTAGTGGCCTTGAGTCTCCCTCACCCCTCATGGCTGGCCAAATTCTACGTGTCATTCTAGGGACAGAGATTACGATGACATTGATGACAATGACCCCTTCAACCCCCAAGCACGGCGTATCGCAGCCCACAACCCCTCACAGGGGCAGCTGCACAGCTTCTGCAGTTATAGCAGCGGCCTGGGCAGCCAGAGCAGCCTGCAGCCCCACTCTCAGACCATCTCCAACGCGCCCGTCTCCGAGTATATGTACGTACAGCGGGGCCCGCGCCACGAATGGGCGGCATGGCCTCCAACTCCACAGGAGAGCTGGGTCTGCATGTTGGTCCCCAGGGCCACATGGACGATGGAGGGTATCAAAGGTCATCCCTTCTGGGTCTCCTCCATACTCGTGTGTGCTGGGCAAGAGCCCACCACAGACATCCAGCCTCAGCCTTCACCACAAGCTCCTCTCGGGCGGTCCAAGGCCTGAGAAGTTGCATTTTTTTTTTTTTTTTCAGTACTGGGGGATTGAACCCAGGGCTTTATGGGTGCTAGATATTCAACCATTGAGCTATATTATACCCAGTCCCAAAGCTGCATTTCTTGAGGCATCTGTCCCCCATCTGCCGCTTGCGCACACCCCACTGTGTTCTTTCTTTCATTTTCCCATGCACTCTCTCCCTACCTCACCGTTTCCATTCTTCCACTCCCCGCACACACACACCTGCACCCCATCCTCTCCTGAGCTCTCTTCTCGGCCCCACAGGAACCAGGCCATGCTCTTTGGTGGGAACCCACGCTACGAGAACGTGCCACTCATTGGGAGAGGCTCCCCTCCGCCCACGGTAAGCAGACTTCCCTGGCAAAGTCACCACTCTGGCTCTTCTTGAGGGGACAGTTAAAGATAAAACCTCCTGCTGACCCAGCGAAGGCGCTCCACAAAGAGAAGAAGGAAACTGTATTGTTGTTGAATAAGCCCTAAACCGGCCCACCAGGTACATCACAGACAGTCTGGTACTGAGATGGCAGAGCAATCTTGCCCTCCTATGTGGCCAGGCAGGCACGGCCCATTGTGTAACTGTTCTCAAGATAAATGGCGCCTGTCCTTAAATGAGATTACCCACTGCTCCATTTGTCATACCAGCTCATCCTGAATCTACCTGGCAGTTAGGGTGGCCATCCTTGTTAGGTAATTGCCTTTACCCAAAGGAAAAATTAAATTTCTCCATGATAATCCTAGTGTTCTAGCTTGGAGGCAGGCACCTAAGCTGAGCTCTCACTAAGAAGGGGAAAAATGCTGACCTCAATATGACCTTTCCTTGATCCTTAAGAAATTGTTCCTTGGCTGGCACCAGTGGCTCAGGCCTGTAATCCTAGCTACTCAGGAGGCAGAGATCAGGAGGACTGTTGTTCAAAGCCAGCCTGGAAAATAGTTCATGAGGCTCTGTCTCGAAAAAACTCATTACCAAAAAAAGGGCTGGTAGAGTGGCTCAGAGTATAGGACCTGAGTCCAAACCCCAGTACCACAAAAAAAAAAAAAAGAAAGAAAGAAAGAAAGAAATTGTTCCTACATGGTAAGACTGGCAGAGCCTTTTAAAAAGGTTAAATACATCTCAAAAGGACAGAATTGGGTGTGGTGATTCTCACCTGCAATCCCAGCTACAGCAGAGGCATAGGTAGGAAGATCCGGGTCTGAAGCCAGTCCCAGGCAAGAACATGAGAACTTTTTTAAAAAATAACTAAAGCAAAATAAAGAGCTAGAATGTGGCTCAAGTGGTAGAGCACTTACCTAGCAAGTGTGAGGTCCTGAGTTCGAATTTTAATATCACCTCCCTTCCCCACAAAAAAAAAAAAGAAGAGGAAGTAATCATTTATATCAAGTTTTCCAAAGAGAGTACTTCAAGAAAAGAGGGTGACTTCTTTCCCATTTTGAACTACGTTAAGGAAATTTTTTCTTTTGCCCCTCTGAGTGACTTGGTCTGGAGGGTGTGTTGGTTTCGGAGGCATGTGCAGGAGAGCTGATACCAGATACAACCTTCCTCCACCCCATCAGTGCTCAGAGCCCTTCCTATGCCTCCATGCCTCATGCCCTCCCCACCACCTCCATCCAGGAGTCAGTGCCAAGGTAGGAGCCAGAGGGTATGCTGCCTTGTCTGGGAGAAGTATCCAAAGGACACAGGACTATTGCTGAGACAGAGTGAGTCACAGGTAGAGACAGCACAGACTCAGGTGCCAAAATGTCTTGGTTCAAGTCTCAGCTCATGGCTTGTGGCATCTGTGACCTTAGAAAAGTGCTTTGCCTCTCTGTGCCTCTGTTTCCCATTGACATCATGGGGGTGGTGATAACAACACTTCCGTAGGCGTGTGACCGTTGGAGGATCAATTGCTATAAAGTGTGTGCAGCACACAGTGTAGGTGCCATAAGACAGTGGCTGGATATTGTTTTACCTGCTTCCCATCCCCATGTCTCTACAGAGGTGAGGCATTTATAAGAAAGGGCTCATCTTAATCTTAGAGGGATGGGCAGAAGAGTTCATGAACTAGGTGTCTGCCTGCACTTAGCTAGACCAGGCATTTTACCTGCTCATCCAGGTAGTTTGGAAGGGAGCGTCCAACAGGTGAGATAGAAACAATGGAGACCTGGGTGTCTGAGACCAGTGAGCTAGACCTGGGCCCTGAGTGTTAGAACTGAATTCAGGATATGGAGGGATGACACAATAGGCAAGGCGAAATTTACTTCTGCAGAAGGGTGTGCTACAAAGAGTCTGGTTAGCAAGCACACTGAGTGAGACGTCCTCTTGGGTTTTTATCTTTAACGCAAGTCTTCCCCTCACAGTTATTGAACAGGTTTGGGTTCACAGTCTTCACAATTGGCTTATTTGAAAAGGGATATGTGGGGCAAAGAACCTCGGAGCAAGGGGAGCAAGGAGATTCCTCTGAGCAATAGTAAGCAAGCATTTTTAAGATAGGACATCTGGCAATAACAGGCACTTAATCATCTAAGAAAGACATTTATTCACCTAAGAATGTTCAAAACAAGAGCTTTGCAAGGTTAAGTAACGTTTTACAAAGCACATAGGCAACAATTCAAGGGAGTTAAGCTGACATCTGCACACTGATAACTATACTATACGTTAACCCCTTTGACAGAAAAGACCTGACTTTAGTTGATTCTTACGTGAGGATCCAGGAGGTGTACAGAAGTACACCTCCCTGGCCTCGGGCCACTACAAAGCCTGCTCCCGCTGGTCCTGTTTTTCCCAATCATGGCCCCATCCTGTGGTCTTGCCTTTTAAGCAGCTTTACAGCAGCAGCAGACCCAGCCAAAGTGTGTTCTTTCTGTTAAACTGAAAAAGGGCATGGAAGGATAGGCAGCAGATGGTTCAGTATGTCAGCACAAACTTTACTGGGGAGAAGGAACCTGCAGAGAAAGTTTCCAGCCAGAGAGCTGGAGCCCACAGCCACTTACAGACTGCGGTAGATACAGGAGGTTGGTAAGTGGCTGAAAGTAGGTGTTTGTTATTCTTTAGGGCCGGTGGAGGGTTTCCAGTAAGCCACCTGTGATGGGGGAGGGGGCTCTGTCCTAATGTGGCTGCCTCATGTTCACACCAACACTTTCTTCATGAGGTTCTCTGGAAGGGGGCAGGGGTGATGTAGGGGGCACTGCTTAAAGCCTGTATCCAAGTCAGCATCTTTGAAATCCCACTCTGGTTTTTCTCCCTCACCTAACCGGATCCTCATCCTTCACCAGCTGCTAGGCCCCTGGAAGGGAGACTGATTTCAATATCTTTTTTAAAAAAAAATTTTTTTTGGCAGCACTGGGGTTTGAACTCAGGGCCTCACATTTGCTAGGCAGGTGCTCTTATCGCTTGAGCCACTCTGCCAGCTGATTTTGATATCTATCTATGCAAAATCTAAACAAGGAAAATCTGCTGCTGTGAGAAAAAAGAATTACTCAATGCATTGTGATGCTAAATAGAAAAGATTTTCAGATTACCTTCTGTTTCAAGATCCAGGCCACTCCCCTTTCCCTTGGCAGAGGTAAACCAGAAATGACCTTGTTTGCAAGGGCAAACTAAAGCTTCCTCCCTAGAATTAAGACCTTTCATAAAACCCTCATTGCTTTGGCAAAGATGACTGTCAGCTCCTCCCAGCTCTGCAGGAAGACCCCACCCTTGCAGGAGGCATAAGGAGAGATACCAAGTGGTACTGTGGACCTAGGAAACTTGCAGCTGGGAGGGAGTGGGCATCTGCCCCAATAAAGACAGCACAACTGGTATCCTCTGCCTTGCTGTACCAGCTCTAAATGCTCAGCCCCAGCCCCAGGTTGAGGTGGACAAGCTCCTTCCTCTGCCGAGCGCCCTCTCTGGGACAGCCAGGGTTTTGCAGGGTGCATGATACTAAGCAAGGCCTGTTCTTGGCTGGAACTGTCTTCCCCTGTCTCTGGCTTCAGGGAATTCCTCCTGTCCTCTCACGTACTGTTTCCTAGACTGAGGGACAAAAATGACCCAGGGCAAGTGTTAAAAATTCCACCAAAATACCAGAGCTGTATGGCAGACTTTGTGTCTGGTGATGCTTCCAGTGTCCAAATCAGCCAGCTCTTCTCCACCACGCCCAGCACCCAGCCTCACTGGCTTAAACCTATATTTCTAGCTCCTTGGGAGGCAGAGATCAGGAGGATCAAGGTTTGAGGCCAGCCTGGGGGAAAAGTTTGTGAGATCCCATCTCAACCAATGTCTAGGCATGCTCCTCTCATCCCAGCTACATAGGGAAAATATAAATACATAACCAACCCAGAAAGGGCTTGGGGACATGGCTCAACTGGTAGAGCTCCTGTCTAGCGAGCTCTAGGCCCTGAGTTCAACCCCCGATACTGCCACCAAAACAGACAAAAAAACCTGCCAAAGGACAACATTACAGCAAATTAAGTTAAAGGTCTTCATTGGTTTTATTTGCAATCCTAGAATTGTGCAATACTTCTTGTCATAAAATAGAATGAGTTTCTCCCTAGAACATGCTATCTGAGCTGCACCCCCAGCCCTGAGAGGTTGGTTATAATAGACAGCAAAGGACCAAGGAAAGCAGAATGAAGGAACAAAAAGTAGATTGGTCACTTCAAAGTTACCTTCCTCATAAGGCAGGAACAGAGACTCAGAAATAATTGATTAATTAACATCAGGTGACTTCAAGTCTTTTTGTAGGAATTAAAGCACAGGGAAGCTGGTGGCCAGACTGACACTGGCCTGTGTAGGAGGAAACTTGGCATTGTGGGATGTTTACCTACATCCCTGGCCTCTACCCACTAGACAGATGCCAACAGTATCCCATCCCCCACCCCCAATTGTGACAACTAGAACATTCCCAGACACTGTCTGTGTCTATGGGAGGACTCCCATGGAGGCCCACTAGGCTCAAGAGCCACATCTTCTCTACCATCCTTACCCCAAGTGGTAGAAGCATTTGGTTCCCTCACTGGTAGCCATGGCCTGGACCTCCCAGACTACCCTGGGGCCAGTAGGCAGTCACCTGCATCCAGGCACAAGGTGCTCATGTACACTGGATGGTGTAAGAAGCCCCAGGGCCGCTCCTAGGAGGAGTGACTAGGTCTCTGAGTACACACTGTACTAGGTCACTGCTTCAATATTGGAATTGCCTGATGAGCACTAAAAAAAAATATTGGTAACACTTTAAAATGCTTAATTTTCTATTTTATGCAATTTATCTCAATAAACAAAAAATACCCCGACAGGTGTTACCTGCGTATCAGGATTTTTTTTTAAGCTCCTTGAGTGTTTGAAAACCACTGTAAGGGGTTTTGCTTACCATATATCATTTCATCCCCCTCAATATCAGCTGAATGCACATTAGGTCCATTTTGCAGGTGGGGAAACTGAGGCTGGGAGCAGTCAGAGAACCTCAGCCACGGTCACGGGCAAGTAAGATGCACAACTGAGTTGTTGACTTGGCTCCCAGAGTCAGTGGACCTGTGTCCTCATCCTGCTGGCCACCGGCTGCACTGGTGTACCCTGACACTGCCCCTAGAGTGAGAGTAAGGCTGGGTGCTGGGCGTGGTATAGGAGGACAGCTGGCTGATTTGAACACTGGAAGCCTCACCAAAGCCTGCCATGGCTGCTCTGGTATTTCCTGAGCCCCATGGTGCCTTGAAGTTAAAACTCCATGCTGGCTGCTGCAGCTGGCCTGGCTCTCGCCCTCTGAGACGTTCCTGGCACCTTTGCTAGTGCAGGTGTCCCTCGGTATCTATGGCGGATTGGTTCCAGGGCCTCCAAGGATAACAAACTCAAGTCCATGTATAGAATGATGTACAATCTGCATATGACCTACGCGATCTGACAGATTCAGAGGGGAGGGTGGGCTGTACAATGTCCAGTTTAACTGGTAGCCAGGTGTGCCCTGCTCTGACTTCCTCCTCCTCCTTCCCACAGTATTCTCCCAGCATGAGGGCCACCTACATGTCCGTGACGGACGAGCACCAGATGCACTACGAGTTTCCATCTTAATGGACTTTCAGGGATGCCTGCCTCCTCCTTCCGGTTTGGTTTTTAATGAATGCAAATACAAGCTGCATCTCTTTAATAGAAACCAAAGGCACCTGGACACCAGCGGGCTCCTGTGGCACCTGAGACTCCTGACCAAAGCCCCAGGTGGACAGAAGGCCCACGAGTTTGCTGGCCTTGCTCCTGCCCCACTCTCTGCCCCAGAATGCCCCACAGCTTGGCCTCAGTCCCTGGGCCAGCTGCCTGGTTCAGCCTTCCCCAACATCCCACCCTCACCAGGTGGGGAGTGGCAATGAGGAGATCTCTGTTCTCTCAGATCCTGCCACCAGGACTGTGCCTCTGTTAGCACAGTCAAAAGCCCGGACAGTCACTCTGTCCCCCATGACAGTGGGAGAGGCTGATTGGCAGTACATTTAGGGAGGTGGTGTCCCTGATAAGAGCAGAACACAGTTGGAATCTTACGTCCAGGGCCACACGGACTCTAAGTCCCAGAGGGACAGTGTCAGGAGTGCTCCACAATGGAGGCTTGTGGCCACAGGGTGGGCATCTCAGCCAGTCCCCATGGGAACGTGAAAGAAAATTGGCCACGTTCTATCCATCTAACCTCCATCGCCCACTTCCATTCTGGAATCCATGCTGCAAGTCTAAGCTTCCGATAGGGACGGTCTCAGGTATGAACAGACACTTGGAACACAACTTTTTCTCCCAGTGTTTTAAACATTGTGATGATCCAAAGAATTGCAACTCACAGCACATCCAATTTCTACAGTAGATTTGGGGTTTATTCCTTACATATGGTTTTCATACATACCACTACTTTGCAAAATTTGAACCAGAGGGATCGAGTTTTGAATAAAATAAAAATCAGTGAAATATCCTGTCCCAATCCACTGTCGAAGGGCATTTGGGTACCTGGAAGAGGAGAGCGAAGACATCAAAGAAGGCTTAGTTCCTGGAGACCCAAATGCCCAAGACAAATGTCCCTTCCCTTTTGTCTCAAGCAAGTTTGCCATCAAATGTTACAGTAAAGTGGTACGATTGTGACTTCTTGTGAGGACCAGCTTTTCCCCACTTCTCCCACCACCCTGCCCCACCCCCAGTATCTCCGACTCCTGACATGCCAGTCATGAAGAAGCTTTTTGGCCGAGAGGAAAAGTGACCCCCCTTTCCTGCTCACTGAAGGGCCAGGTTAGGGTCTTTGGTGCTTCTGACCTCCTGCCAACCCTGAGCGCACAGCGTTGATACCTCGTGGAATTGCACATGAAAGCAAGGCTCGGGTGATGGCTTGGGACAGGGGCTCTGTTTCCATTTCAAAGAGCCATTTTATTGTCAAAACAGCAGCAGTAGAGTGGTCCCCAGCTCCCAGGCAAGCTTCTGCCGCAGAATGGGGCCACAGGGCACCAGGCTCACTGTGTCTCACCTACATTAACCTGTGTGTTCCATGACACCTTCACAGATCCGTGAAACTCCAGCTCTGCAACCTCAAGGTATTGCTTCTAATCGCTCATTACTGGCAACTTAAGGATTGTTTTTAATGCATGTAAACTACACTAAAATTCCTTGGCGGGGAGGGGGGTCCTGTAGGAGCCAGGTGAGCAAAGCTGCTTGATACATGTACACCTCACCTGGAAAAAAATAAAATTACTTGTACTAAAATGTGCCGGCAGTCTCTGGCTTCCTCAGCTGCAGGGAAGAGTGGAGGCATTGCCTGGCCCTCCGTAGGGTTGCAGGGTGGAAGGGGTGACAGATTCCAGAGGAGACAAAAGGGGAAGAGGGCTACAAATGACATCACGGGCCCTATTTCTGCCCTGCTTTTTCCTCAGTGTTCCCTAAAGATCATTCATTGCTTTTTAGATTGCTAATAAATATTGAGCGCTCACAATGTGCCAGAGGCTGACCCTCGTGTTTGTATTAATTTTTATTAAGCTTCACAATAACCCTGTGAGCCCATCCAGTCAGGGACACCTGAGACACGGCATCCTTTATTCTTTCTTGATTTGGTTTGGTTTAGTTTGGTTTTTTCGTGGGACTAGGGTTTGAAATTGCAAAGCAGGTACTCTACTGTGTGAACGACACTCCAGCTCTTTTTGCTCTGGTTATTTTGGAGTTGTGGGGGGTCTCATGAACTGTTTGTCCAGGCTGGCCTTAAACTGTGATCCTCCTGATCTCAACCTCCCAAGTAGCTAGGATTACAGACATGAGCCACTAGCACCTGGCTGCTTCACGCAGTCTTTGTAGCATCTTTGGGAAACACCCAGCAAGGCCTGGGCTAGCTTAGCATCCCTGGATCAGGTTTTCCTCTCACAGCCCTAAGGGACAGTTTAGTGTCTGTGCGCCAGCTTCATTCCTGAACTGCACTGCATTTCAAGAAGCTGTGAGGGTGAGCAGCTGATGGGTTCCCGGGGAGTGCTTGAGGGGAGAGGCAGAGAGCCCTAGGCAACCAACCACTCACCTGGCTCAGAACTGCGTGCCTGCTGCCCTTATGGCTTTCCCCACCCTCCGTTGTCTGGTCTCAGGATCGCTGGAGCAGTGGGGAAACTTCCATGACTAATTTGATGTCTTGAAGATAACTCGGTCCCCAAAGGAGACTGGCTTTGAGATCTTTCATCGTCTGTGCTATGGAGCAACACCAGTTGTAGTAGGCCCTGCATAAAGGCTAAAGGTAGTTGTGGGAAACCACACGTGTCATTTCCCTTCCCTCAAGAGGGTCTCCAAGCAGCTTCTTACCCAAGGGAACTGGTAGATGGAGAGAGGTCCGGCCTCTGACTCGACCTGCAGGGCTCACCCAACTGCACCTGACTGCAGACTCGGGAAGGGCTGGCTGTGGAAAGGGGACAGCTGTGTAACCTGCCCCCAGAGAGGAAGAGCAGGAGACTCCATGCTGCCCCTCTGTAAGCAGAGCCTTTGCCAAGAACAGGCACGTGCTCAGGCTGTCAACTGAGGTATTGCAGAGTGGTCCTCCTATTCCAGAGCTGTTTCACGACCTAAACTGCTTCCTCCTGCTCCGAAGCTTGGAGGAGGTCTTACATTTAAGAGCAGAAGGAATGTTGTCACTGTCTCTTAACGCCAAACAACATGGTTCAAGAGGCCTGGTTTGTTGATTGACCAATATACTCAGTTAAGAACTTACTTTTTTTTTTTTTTTCGTGGTTCTGGGGTTTGAACTCAGGGCCTTCACCCTGAGCCATTCCACCAGCCCTTTTTTTTGTGATGGGTGTTTTTGAGCTAGAGTCTCTCAAACTATTTGCCCGGACTGGCTTTGAATTGTGATCCTCCTGATCTCTGCCTCCTGAGTAGCTAGGATTACAGGCATGAACCACCAGCATCCAAACCCTATCTCATAAAACTCACCACAAAAAAGGGCTGGTGGAATGGCTCCAGGTAAAGGCCCTGAGTTAAAACCCCAGTACCACAAAAGGAAAAAGAAAAGGTGGAAATTTTTTTTCTCTTTCATATAAGCGCCTACATAGTATACTTGATTTTGCCTCTTGACCCACAAAGCCTAAAATATTTGCCATCCCCTTCCTTTCTCTAAATTCTGGATCTGCAGAAGTATCTCAGGCAATCGTGGTTCTGGACTTCAGGGAGTTTACAAATTAGCAAGCAATAATCAACAGATGCACTGAGACACAGGTTCGGAGCCATGTGGACAAGATGCCTGGGATCTTGTGCATCCTGTTTTCACTTGGCTAGGATAGGCTTTGGTTTTTGCAGTGCTGGGGATGAAACTCAGGGCTTTGTGCAAGTGCTTCACTTCTGATCCACATCCCCAGCCTTTTGTTTGTTTTAATCTTTTTTCTTTTCTACTCACCGAAAAAAAAAAATCCGTGATGCAGACATTCCAAACTTCACAAAAATGTGTGAGAAAATGAAAAATTCCCCTAATCCTCAACCCAGAACAAACAGGAGCAGCTTGGTGTGTGTTTGCCAAGATTTGCTCTAAAGCATTTGTAGAAATATAGAAATTGTATTGTTCTACAATTGCTTGTTCTACTTAAGACTGTCTAGGATATCTCCTATCATTCTTTAAATGTTTGCTCCCCCTTCAACCACTGACTCTCCACAGAGAAGAGGAAGTTAGACATCAGAGCACCATTGACCAAACACTATCTTCCTGCCTGGCAGCCATTGGTCAGCTCGGAAGGGTGTCTTCCACAAACACAGTGACAAAGCGTTCCTGGGGCTTTGCACACTCAACGAATGTCTCCAGACTGATGGGCAGTTCCCAGGGTCATGGTGGCTATTCATGTTTGTCATCGTTTCATACAAATTGGTCAAGAGCCATCTGTTAAATCCTAGGCACTGGATGACTAGGGGTGCTGGTAATCACAGGACAGTGGAGGAGGAGCACATGACAGGATAAGGACCCATTTCCTAACAGTTGGCTTCAGAGGATGTGTGCAACATCTGAACAGCAGTGCCTTGGGCAGGCAAGGCGAGGTCTGAACTGGAACTGATAGGAAGCCTGAAGACCTGAATTTGGAAGACACCCCATACACATGGTTACTAATGTTATGGAGACAGATGGAGTTGTGCAGAAAGAATGGGGAGAGTCCACTACGGGTCCCGGCATTAGAGGAGCAGATGGACTAGCAGAATGAGAAAAAGCAAAGAGGCAGAAGGCAAACCAATTGGGAAAGTGAGAAGGGTAGGTCTGGGGTGGGGTGTGGTGTGGTCCACACCAGCAAACATACCCCCAGGTAGGATGAGGACTGGAGCACAGCAACTGAGTCAGGCAGCTGGGGGTCTTGGCCTTTGCCCATCTTTCAAGGGAGAAGGTGTTTTTCCTCCAGTGGAGGAGGGAAAGAAGAGCTGACCAGAGGAAGGCTTTGAAGCATGGTTGACAGCTTGGAGAATCCTCCCAGTGGACTCCGCCAAGCTCTGCATGCTCTGTGGTGACCCAGAGTCCCACACTGACTCCGGCCAATGTCCCAGGCCTCACAGGAAAGCAATCTTATTAAACTCTCTGTGCTTCCCTGGCAGCTGCCCTCCCATCTTCACCATTCCCAGAGGATGTGGCGTTTGGGCAGAACATGGGTACCTTGTGAGAGAAGCAGAAGGGCCAAGCCCCCTGGGGCTTGCCAGGACTTGGTGTCTTCTAAAATGACTTAGGGTGCACATGTGAGTAAACGTAAAAACAATAAAATAAAAATAAAAAGTAAATAAAATAAAATGCCTTGGGTGTTTCCTTTTCCAGCTGACCCCAGAAATACATTCAGCTATAGCTCCAGCTCTTTTTTTCCTTTCTCTCTTTTGTTTTTCTTTGGATGTAAACTATGGATGACTTTTTTTAAATTCTGAGGTCCCCTATTCCTCCAAGAAAAGCCACATCTATCAGCACCAGTCTGAATGGAGTGTGTCCTTTCAGCAAGTAGAGCTGCCTTTGGTTACTCAAATTACATATTGCTTAGAAAGGACAGAGTGCCTTGAAGGGCAGGTGGCATGAGTGACAGGAAGGCTGATCCAGAGCGAATGAAAGGGAGTCTTGTCTTGAGATACCAGAGAGGTCTGGTCTATGCCAGTGGAAGAGTAATTGGTGCTATTTAACTGGTGGCAGAATGTGGGGAAGGGGGGTCTCACCATTGAAGTGATGGATGCACTCTTGGGAAGCTTTTACAAATGGAGTACATAGCAAGCACCATGACCCCAGAGGCAAACAAGACATGAGTGTCATTTTTCCATCACCTTGAGGGAGGCTGGGATGCGAGCAGACTGTTGATGAGAGGACCTAGCAGCAGTTCTGTGCTGTGTGTCACAGGCACCTTATCCTTGCAAAGCAGCAAGCAGCTTGTCCTAAACCTTGGTAGGGAGAGCAGATGGTTTTTACCAAGTGTTTCTGTATGCCCATATCAGCCAAGGTACATGTAAGAAAGTGACTAACATCTCTACATAGAAGAATCTAAACAGTGTATATGGATACTCTGTCTTAAGAAAGTAGATGCAACTCCCTACTGCTGAAGTGCATGGTAACTTCCTTCTTTCCTCCAAAGAGTACAATATGGAAGGGGGAGGGCAGAGAGTAGCTCGATAGCAGAGAAGCCTGGCAAAGACGAACTCAGTCTAGCAACCAAGGTGAACACTGTAGTGCTGTCATGTTGACATAACACACCCTGGTATGACAAGGAGGGTGCTTTACTTCTGTGGCCTTCCTCCCCAAAACGAATAACCCCAGTCATATCATGAAAAAATATATATCAGACATATCCCAATTGAAGGACATTCTACAAGCACCTGACTAGTATTCCTCAGGACTGACTATCAAGGTTGTCAAAAAGTCTGAGAAAACCGTCATGGTCAGGAGGAGCCTAAGATAAGATGACTAGATGCAGCATGAAATTTTATAGAAGCTGGGGAAAATGGCATCAGCAAAAACAAAACAGATATCTGAATAAACTGTGGACTTCAGTTAATAACAGCATGCATCCATATTGACTAAGTTAAAAAAATTACCATTGTAATGTAAGATAGGTAATAACAGAGGGACTAGCGGGGTGGCTCATGCCTGTAATCCTTGCTACTCAGGAGGCAGAGATCAGGAGGATCGAGGTTCAACGCCACCTCAAGCAAATAGTTCATTAGATCTTATCTCGAAAAAACCCA